TTGTGTTTGATTTGGGGTGCAGTTCTCCTCTGCGGTGGGATTTGATCCTTGTTGCCTTTAGCTTTATGAGACTGAGGTTTGGTTTATGACGTTAATAAAAGAAATGGCTGCTGGGACCCGTGCTGATGTTGAGCGGCTCTCCTACACGCGTGTCTGCATCAGTGTAGCGTGAGGAGACCCCTCGACTCTCATCGTGTTCCTGTGCTGTCGGGTCTCCTTGGGCCATTAAATTGGGTTCAGGCTCCGAGGCCCGGCTGTTGTTGCTGACCTGATGACTCAGAGCGCTGAGGTGCTTTCTTAGATGTGTTTGGCAGAGTTTAAAGTGTGACCTAGTTCTGTAGTTGGAATAATGCAACATGGTGCATGTCATTTCTTAGGGCCCTATGAAATCCTTTTTGCCCCCTACCCCCAAATTATGGTATATATATTTTTTTATTTTTTTTCCCTCAAATTTAGAAATCAAAAACCATGTCTAATTTATTGAAATTTTGTCTACATGTGGAAATAGCTTTTATTTTTCATTTTGCATCATATTGCTTTATTTTTTTAGTCATGTTTCGTTATGTGCTTTTGTCTTTTAATAAGATTTATTGAGGTTTAATTTATTAATATTTCAGTTTTAGTTTTTATTTATCATTTTAGGCAACAAGTCTAATTTTTGTTTTAGTTAATGATAAGAAACTTAAATTTTTCTCAATTTCTTGTTTTTAATTATTTATTTTCTCGATTCAATCTTAATAGTTTAATTATATTTCAAATTAATTTCAAAATGCAGGTCTAAATAATTTAATTCATAAACCTTTAACAACTTAATAAAATGTATTACCTTTTTTTGTAATAATACAGCCCCATGAAATGTTTGTTTGTTTTTCTCAGAAATGTTGTGTTCCGTTTAAATTTTTCTGGATTTATGATTTAATATAAAATTATTTTCTTTGAGTTTCTGTGTGTGTAAGATGGACCTTTTTTATGACTGAATTTCTCCATTCAGTCCACATTTTTCCTCATTGTAGAAAGTATAGGGATGAGAGACTTTTATTTGACAAGTCTTTTAAAGATAACAATAAATCACAATTCAACTTCTTGAATGAAATACACCTGTCCACATGTTGCTCTAAACCCAGTCAACTAAAAAAAAACTTGATTCTTCAGGGTCGAAGTGTTTCTCTCATCAGTTGCACATCATAAATGCTGTTTTGAAGCTGTCGGGCAAGAGCAGAGCAAGTCTTAGTCTGACTCGGGAGGGGTAGTGTCTTTGGTTGAGTTACTCTAGTTGCCAAGCAGATGTGAAGTGAAGAGAACAGCGTGATGAATGACTGATGTTCTTCATGCATGGTTGCGTAATGCCTCTAATGCACACCTGTAAATGAGTCCTCCTTGTTCAGACACATCGAGCGCCGCAGAGGCTCCATGCCAGTTCACTTCATATCAGTCTTATCGAGAAAACATAAAATGAAACGTTTATTAAAGCCCCCCCTGTGGTGTAAATCCAGCGTTTAATGTTGTTTATGTGGTGTTTTTAATACACTTTAACACACACCATGTGTGCGTTGATAAGTGGACAGCATTGCTGAGTATTTCCTCCTCAAAGACAGTCTCAAAAACACGCTTTGAAATCGCTGGTGTTTTTGACGTCACAAACCGCCTTGTAACCAATCAGATCAACGTGTGATCGACAACCAGTGAGTGGGTGAGTGGAGGCGGGGCTCATCTGCATATTCATAGAACCGCGCATTCTAAATGAGGCGAGGGTGTCGAGTTACATTCAAGAGATTTTAAAGCATTAAGAATTTTATTTCAAGAAAAAAAAACCTAAATATATATAATTCAAATGTGCTTTCATATATCTCAACTAATTTGTAAATCCAACAGATCCGATTCTCTGAACTGTGGCACAAACTAACATTGCGTGTATACAGTGCAACTAATGTGACCGTTATAAAGGTGTTTAAACAACAAAACACATCCACTTGCACATATTTGACATATTTGACAATCGGACTATCAGATATTTCATGCTATAGCTAATAATTTAGTGAATATTTTGAATACAAAAGAAAAAATGACAAAAGCAGAACATCAACAACTGGTTGAGGAACGACCACTCCTCGAGTAGTCAAAGGACCTTGCTGGAAATGACCATTTAAGACAAAAGTCTCACCTAACTACATTTCTGCCCCTCATCCTCCACTCGTTCTCTCACCAAAACACACACAAGAATATATATGGTTTAATGTGAATGATTATCATTGGGTATTATACATATTTAGTATAATTAATAATATTAATATTTATATATTAATTATTAATTTAATTTTTAAAGGGGTTGCTCAGGATCTTGGACAACGGACCTCATTTCCAAGTTAGCCTGGGTGTTATTTATGAGTGGAGACTTCATCCAGTCATTAGTTGCGTAGTTCGCCGGTGCTAGGCTAGCGCGAGTCAACGGTAACTGCTAGCCTGCTATTAAAAAACAGTTTTACCCACTCCACAGTTACACCAAAAGCAAATACATTATATCACCAGACTGTCGATGTAAATGTCTGTTGAGAGAATAATGTTAGAAATCAACACACACTCACACACACACACTGTGTATTAGTATATTGTGTCTGTGCAGCTCTTAAAGTGACAGCAGCCTAATATTCCTGCTGTCATCTCTATAATGATGTTAATCAGACAACAAAAGACAGGCACTATTCTTCAATGAGTAACTTTATTTGTAATGTATATTTTATTTTTAAACTGCAGTGTTATTTTACATTTGATCACAGTTTCTGAACCTGAATACCTGGAAATCTTAAAACATCGAGAGCAAGTTTGTTTGAACCTATTTTATTTTAGGCCTAAGGTTTTGGGCATCTGGCACGTTGTTGGGTGTGGAAGGTTACCAATGTGATTGGATAGCATTAATTTAATTTACAGGTAAAGCAATTACTGAATTCATTGAAATAAAAGACTTTTTTCCAAATATTTTTTTTATTTAAATTTTTGGTAATGCCGTCGTGTAGGTCTTAAATTTCAGTGTTTATGATCTTAAAATGTCTTAAAAAGGGTTAGGGTTAGTCTTAAATTTGACTCACTGAAACAAACCTGATTTAATTTCACTTGTATCTCGGTTTTTGTGTTTACTTGCCTTTAATAATGCTTGAAATTTAAATGTGTTAGGCTAGTTGTTTAGTTTGTACTTTGTGGTGTTGGATGAAATATAACATGCATTTCTCTAGATTTATTCATCTTGGAGAAAAAAAACTAACAAAAAAAGTCTGTATAGTTGCAGTGCATTCTGGGTTTTTTTGTAAAGAATACATGCAAGGCCTTTAGAATCTCTACAGAAGCCGGTGTGTGTAAATCAATGGAGTAAAGACTTTCCTTCCCCTGCTGTTAGTTATCTAGTAAGGTATCGGGTTGTTTATTAGCCCAGACAAGATCTCAGGACTAACAAGAGCGAGGTTCGTTTCTAAGACGGAGACTAATAGGCCGTCAGCTCTAATCTGATACGGTCGACAGCGCTGCAGTGTCTCAGAGATTCACAGATTCCCCTAATACATTACAGCTGGCCTCTTGTGTTCGGCCTCGTCTAGTGTTTCATCAGAGACCTAAACTCGCCTGAACACCTCACACGTGTACAGATCCGTCTTTCAAATTGGGGTCAAGAGGGTCAAAGGTCAGAGGAACATCAGTCATTTGTTGTTCTTCAGCTTCTGTTAATGGTTTGATTATAAAAAGCCAGATCTTTTTGCTGTGTAATCATTATAAATCCTGTAAATCTGGAGAAATATTACATACGCCATTCAAGATTTCCAAAATATACATTTGCGAGTGGTCTACTCTGTCCACTCTGCCTTTTTTTTTTTTTTTTTTTTTGACATTGATATTGTATTGCATTATTTTATTTTTTTCTACTCGCATTTTTATTCTTGTATTGCATTTTATCAAAAGCCCTTATTGTTTTGTATTGCTCGTGTATTGTATTGCATGTATTGCATTTTTACTAAAAAAGCCCTTCTAGGGACTAATGTTGTAAATTAGCTTTGGCTAAAAACATTGATACATGCATCAGATCACTATCAAAGTGTATCTATGTTATCTGTATCTGTCCCTATCTAAATAAACTATAATACTAAGGTAGGATGTGTGATGCATCGTCAAACCATTGTTATTTTTAACCATTAAAAACAGTTCCCCCTTGATTGATATTAAGCTGAAATAAAATATACTGTAAGTATTAGATGAGAAGCTTTAACTTAAAAAACATAAATAGAAATGAGAAATGAAGCATTGGCAACTTAAAGAAAATAAGTTGAAGTATTACAATTTAAATAAATGGAAAGATAAATAGAAATATTTGAGAAAAATGAAACCACTAATAAAAGTCACAAATAACATGACATTAGAACTGAAACTTAAACAAAAAATGGAAAATAAAAAAAAATAATATTAATAAATACTGTGATGGTATATAAATAACACTGTCAAGCATCACTCTAATCAGGGTAAACTAACGCAAGACTGAAGTCAGGCAAAAAAAAAAAAACATTTTGCTCAAATTTATGAATGCAATTTGTTGAAAGATTGATTATATATTTGAGATTTTGAAGTCTAGCACCTCTCTTTTTAATTACGATCACAATTAAAGGTAACTAAACTTAACTCATTTGATTTGTGTGAGAAACTTCATGGATTTTCCTTTCCGTGAAAGAGTTGATCTCTCTGATTTGTAAATGAATCTTTTTAATGAATCTGCTTCACAAAACCACATGATCATATTGAGCTCACTGGATAATGGCTCTCTGGATTATCAGTGAAACTCTATTGCAATCGATTGTGAGTTAAATCTCTCTTTTGCACGTCACATGAGAAATATTGTTTGTGTTGTTGCATATGAATGCTGTTCCAAATCAATTACTCTTTCAGCTCCGATAGAATATAGCGATGGAATTAGACGCCTAGGGTTGTGTAGAAGTTTGTTTCTGAACTGTGTGTGTTTGTGTTTTTAGCTGACAGATGGAGGAAAGGCTGCTAAAGCCAAGATCAGCGTCGGGGACGTCGTTCTGTCTATCGACGGCATCGCCACAGAGGGAATGACCCACCTGGAAGCCCAGAACAAAATCAAAGCTTGTACGGGGAACCTAAACCTCTCACTGCTGAGGTAAGACAGACACACACACACACACACACACACACACACACTCTATTTCTTCAATGACTTTTCAGCAGTCAATGTCTCATGGCACTCAGACGTTTGGCTTGGACATGCAGATGTAAATGTGTATTGCATTACATACATATCGCATAAGTCTTAATATCTGCTCAATCACCAAATTGTGGTGAACACTCGAATATTCTTGTGCATGTTAGACTCGTCAGCTCACCAAGGCTGTATTTATTTAGTAAAAATAGTGAAATATTATTATAATGTAAAAAAGTGGTTGTGAATATATAGTAAAGTGTCATTTATTCCTGTGATCAAAGCATCATTACTCCAGTCTTCAGTGTCGCATGATCCTTTAGAAATCACTCTAATATGATGATCTGATGATCAAGACACATTTATGATTATTATCAATGTTAATAACCATTGTGCTACTTTCATATTTTTGTGGAAAGTTTTGGCTAAGAAAGTTTTGAAGGAAAAAAAGATATTTATAAAGATATTATAAACTATAATAATATCACAAAATTTCTATTTAAAATAAATGCTGTTCTTTTGAACTAGAATCCTGAAAAATAAAATGGATAATTTTTTCCTAAAAAAATACAAAAAATAATTAAAATAATATATATATATATATATATATATACAGTATATATATGAAGAGTTCAGATGCAAAAGCCTCTAAATGCCATTTGAAATTTTCTTCTTTAATGATGATTTTTTTTGTACATTTCAAATTTGTACATTTAAGTTCAGTAATTTCACTTAAATAACAATTAATAGGTAATTATCATTGCCATTTAAGTGAAATCACTGAACTTAAATATACAAGCTTGATAAAAATCATCATTAAAGAAGAAAATTTCAAATGGCATTTAGAGGCTTTTGCATCTGAACTCTTCATATATTAGTTTTCAATATTGATAATAATCATAAAAGGCTAAATCAACAAATGCGTCTTGATCATCAGATCCTCATATTAGAGTGATTTCTGAAGGATCATGTGACTCTGAAGACTGGAGTAATGATGCTGGACGTTCAGGAATAAATTACACTTTACTATATACTCACATAAAAATCAGCAGTTAAAAATGTTATTAATATTTAACTTTTTTACAACCTTGGTGAGCAGAAGAGGCTTTCAAAAGCAATAAAATTATGAATTACTCCATTCTGTTGACTGAAAGCGAACTGATGGTCGTCCAGATACGATCATGGATTGTGTAAATATGACAGCGGTGCCTCGGAGGAGAAGATTTGTTTGGTTATTGCAGTTCTTGGCCCGGTTTGTGTCTTCCCATCACGGGACACGCAGGATCTAATGCAGTCAAGATGTTGGGACCGACTGGCTCTGGTGCTTCAGCTTGTTCTGATGGCCTCTCTCTGCTCATCATGTCGAGGCTCCTGGCCACTGAATCTTTAATTGCAGTTTAGTTCATTAATTATTATCACTTATCAGCGTCCGACATTCAGACAAGGGTTGCTGAATTAGTGCATTGCTAACTCATCATTTACTCACTCTCATGTCATTCCAGACCTTTTCTTCTTCTTTAGGTTAATGATATTTATGCATTTTGGCTGATGATTTTATCCATAGTGAATACATTTTTATCAAACTCATGCAAATTTCTAGATTGCAAAATCTAATGTTTTAATTTCATATACAGTAAAAGTGAATGCGGATAAATGCTTTCAAGCTCCGGAAAAGGCCGTAAATCTATCTGTAAATAAAAACTTAAGATTTTGTGGAGAACAGACACAAGTTTATGCACTCAGATGTCCTGGAACATAGTCATAAATACCTCTTTTGATGCTTTTCTGGTCAGTTTTGCAGCTGGACCTTATCCATTTCAATAATTTTCATTGCAAGATTTATTTTGTGAGAGGCTGAAGTAAATGATGACAGTGTGTTTATTTCTGCATGATTTATTCCAGTAAATGTGTGTTGACCATAGACAAATTAATTAAAAATGGAGGGGATGTACTGTAGATTTCATTAAGGTTTAGTTTGTCTGAAACGAAGCAGCTCTCTCAGTGCAGCGACAGGAACGGCTCATATTCTGGAGTTATGGGCCCTTTGAAAGGAAATTTAGGGAAGAGAGATTGTGCAAGAGCTCTGGAATCTCCCATTAAAGTCTTTTATAGCTGTTGAACATTTGTCAGTGTGTCTGCAAAGGCTATCAAACAGCACTTAAGCTTTACTATTAAGATAACATCGCATTAAGAGCGCCAGAGATCCCAGATCAGCGCGGTACAGGTCTCACCTCAGCCGTCTTTCCTCGCTTCTCGATCGCCAGCGTGTCTGAGACGTTTGACGATAGATATTGAGAGTCTGAGAAGAGTTATTCTCTAAACCTCACCATCCAGTCTTGCACTGCTGTCATCCCTCTTTTACATGACACACATTACAGGAGTTCAGGCCCGTTTACCCCAAGGATGATGGATATATTGAGAATGATTTTGTGGGGGAGTGAAAAAAATAAGCAAATTACAAGCATTGATAAATACAATTGAAATAAACAACGCTTTGTTTTTCAGGTAATTCTAACAGTATTCAGTATTCATAAACATGAACAATTTCTGGATGAACTGATTATTTATTTGTTGTCCTCAAATTTTCTGCATTTTAATGAGAGCAAAACAGAAATGATTTGAATTAGACCCTCAGACTATTCCACCACACCTAAAGTTCTTTTTGATGGTTTGTCTTCTTATGTGAGGTAGTGCTGTAGCGGCGCGTCGAATCGACGTCAAAATTGCGTCGACGTCATATTTTTGCGTCGACACTTCTTTATTTATTTATTTATTGCATGTTCCCGGCGGTACAGCTTGCCACACACACGTGGGAGACCGAAACATTTCAGAATAGAGGACGAAGACGACTAGAAGTGAATGTGCTATCCATTAAATGAATCACACACAGCAAACAAACCCTTAAGAAAAAAAAATTTGGGTGCAACCCAAACTGGGTGCCGGTGTGGTGATACGTACAAGCTCGGGCAGATTCGGCTTGAAGTCGCTTCAGAGAGTTCTGACATTAATTTTTAACATTAATATAATCTGTAATTCATGTTTGTGTGTTATGTGTTATGTATAATGTATACTGTGTTGCATCTGTTTCCTGAAGGCCAAAGATGAATTTCTCCATTAGGAGACAATAAAGGCTAATCCAATCCAATCCAATCCGATTTGAATTAGACCCTCAGACTATTCCACCACACCTAAAGTTCTTTTTGATGGTTTGTCTTCTTATGTGAGTGATTTCGGCTCTCAAATCAAATCCATGAAAACTTGATCAAACGTAAACCTTTTTGGTGCAAAAGGGGTACAACAAGTGTATCACCAATGAGGCAAGATCACCTGTTGTGTTTTATTTTACATTGTCATATTTTATATACAGACCAAGAATCAAAACGATTAGAATACATGGAACAACCCGTTTATTTTATTTTATTTTATTACTATTTGTTTTATTACATTTACTGTGCACTAATTTTGATTTGGCATATGTAAATACTTTCACAATATAATGGCTATACTCTTTATTAATATATCAAATTATATAGACCAGAAATTTAACAGATTAGAGATGGAAAAACCTGTCTGTTGTTTTCTTGTGTTATTTGATTGTGTATTTAATTTTATTTTATTTATTAAAAAAATCTCTTTTTTATTAATGTTTTGTTTTTTTGTGTATTACTTTTATTGTTTTTTTTGTATATTACTTTTGTTGTTAATAGTTTTAATTTACTCTTTTTTTATATAGTGTGTATATATATATATATATATATATATATATATTATATTGTATTTAGGGCAGTCACGCATCACTTTAATAAACTGATTTTAGGAGGGGATTCTGTACGAATGATTCGTTTTGCCAGGATCGTTCATTCTTCAGCTACAGGCATGAAACTGATCCAGCATAATGGAGTAATGTTTGGATCGTCCCAGTATGTGTCCTACTGTGTTTTCTGTTTAGGGAAGACTCTTACACCAGTACACATGATAATTCACATGATGCGTCTTCTCCAAGTCTCTGAGCTGAAACACAGATAGCGTGTGTCTCTGAGGCGTAGTCTGGAAAGCTCGACGTGAAGTGTGTATGAGGTTTCCATGGCACACCCGCTCCGGTGTTCATCACACACACATCAGCTGCTGACCCAAGCTCATTTCCCCTTCACACACACTCTTTCTGCCCAGTCTTGCTCTCACTTCTGACCTAATCAACTTTAGAGATTGATCAATATTGTTTTTTTTTCTTTTTTCTGAGGTGTCCCTTTAATTTTATCATGACGCTTTTTTTTAAATATTTTATTAAAAATAAAAGATGTTTTTTTTTATTTAATTTCTTTCATATTTGTTTTAATTAATATTTCATTTTATTTAATTTCATGTTCATGTCAGTATTTTATTTTTATAACTAAAATGCTCTCAAGCTAAATTATATGGTTTAATTTAATTTTGTATTGAGTTTAATTAATTTGTTTTATTTTTTATTCTATGTATATTCATTCTATTACAATGCCAACATAAAATATTATTTACTTTTTTAAAATATTAAAGTATTTATTTTAATAAATTGTATTAAATGTGGCAAATTTATTTGTCTTTATATTATTTTATTTGCGTCAAAAATACTTATATTTATATTTTTTCTTTTCTGATTATTTTAAACTGTTTTATTTAGTAGTTAATTTTATGTTTTAATATTTCATTTTATATTTTTATTTATTTTGCTACACTATTAGCTACCAACAAAAATGATGCTCTCAAGCTGACAACAGTTTTGTTTTTATATTTTATATTATTTTATTTTATATTTTATTTAATTTTGCTTCATTTAATTTTATTTGAATGCCATGCATATTCATTCTATTACAATGCCAATATAAAATATTATTATTTTTAATTTTTTAAATATTTATTTATTAAATTATATATATTAAATGTTGCAAATTTATTTGTCTTTATATTGTTTTATTTACATCAAAAAGCAGAAAAATAAATAAATAAATACGAAATGGTTACAGTTATATAATATCCAAAACAATCATACTTCAACATTTACAACATAAAAATGTATTGATTATATTTATGCACAATGTCACAATTATTTATTGTGACAAATTATTTATTTTTTTAATGTGGCAAATGATTTTATTTTTCTGTTTTGAACATTGTCTGACTGTGAGCATCAGTAAAGATGAAGAAGTTACACTCTGTATTCAGTTTCAAACATTTCAGCCTGTATAACCACTTCCCTTTTCCGCATTATTTATCATTTCATCCTGTTATATATGATGTTTTTATTTGCGAGTCCATTTGCAGTGGATCCCTCTGGAGCTGATAATGAATCTCTTGAAATGTCGTTTGGTGTATATTAGTTGTGGCGGTGTGGAAGGACTGTGAAAGGAAAAGCCATTTTTCTCTGTGAGAGGATGGAAACTCAGGTATTTGACATCAGAGCTTTATAAGCTGAATAACAGCTCGCCGTTCACTCCTCTTCCTCCTCAGGCTCCCCGTATGCCAGAGACATTATCAAACATCTGTCTGTGTGTGTGTGTGATATGAGGAAACCCTGCTGAGCATTTTATTTTTTGTTTTTATTAATTTTATTACTTTTTTTATTTATTTTTTTTACCTAGTGTATGTTATTGTTCTGTTTTTATTTCGTGTTGCTATTTTAATGTGTTTTCTTTTCTTCTATTTTATTTTAAAATTATCTTTTATTTTATTATGTTATGTGTTTTTATTTTTGTTGTTTTTTATTTTATATTGAATTTTATGCTTTTATTTTGTTTTTATTTTTTGTTTTTGATTTTCTATGTTTTATTGTTTTTGTTTAGTTTAACTGTTGTTTTATATATATTTTTCATTTTGTAGTTTTATATTTTTTATTTATTTTTATTTTAGTTATTCTTTATTTTGCTAAGTCTCTAGTCATTATTATTTTAATATAAAAAAATAACTGTATATTTATTGCAAAGGGTGTTTAAGTGGTGAATACAGAAAACAGCAGCGTCTCAGTTTCACGTCACGAGTCTTTGTTTATTTGGGCTTGTGGAGTGTTTCGCTGCTGCCTGCATTTTCCCAGCGTGTCCCGTCAGTATCAAACCCTGGGGCAAAACAGCGTGTTTGTGAACGCTTTTCCTTGAGTGTCCTGTTCGCGTTCATTGTGTTCTTTTAAAATGCGTACTTTTATTTTGTATTTATATATATATATATATACAGTATATATATATATATATATATATATATATATATATATTTGTGCATTTTTTTATTTATTTTTTATTATTTATTTATTTTTTATTATTATTTTTGTATTTTATTTTATTTTGCCTACTTCATAATCATTATAATTCTCTTCCATTGGGGAAAAAAAGAAACCATGAAAAAACACTAACTTAAATAAAACCAGTTAAGAGACAGCATCCAGTCAACTTGCAGATCCTGTCTTTGAAGAATGATCGCAAAAAATATTTAATTTTATTTTTGTTTTAGGATAGATTTGGAACAATTCTAATCATTTTCCATTTAATAAAACAAAACAATATATATGACCTAAAAGCAGTGGTAGAGGAAGCAGGATCATTCTTTAAAGATCGCTCATCTTCCTCTCCGCCGCTTCTATTGTTCATGTTCAATGAGTGTTGATTATTGCTCTGTGTGAGCGCCTTTAACTTCCGTCTGCAAGTGTTCCCAGCACCCCACCTTTGCTCCTTATTATAACATGAGTAGGACCGTCGGACACGGAGGAACCGGCCTTGCAGAAGCTGCTCGGCTTTCCTAATATGGAAGCGATTGAGGATGCGGAACGAATCTGCAGTTTCGTAGGAAGCGAAGGCCTGTTTGTCGCCTGTTTTGAGGACGGAGGTTGTTTATGAGGAATGTGGAGGTCGTGTCGGATGTGATGTTGATTAATGAGGACCAATGAAGCCGTCTAGACGGTGTGACAAGAATGCGCTGATAAAACAGAACATAAAGTACGTCTGTGAGCTCCTGAAAAACAAAACATCTCCAAATGCACAAACCCTGATGCACTTTCACCAGAGGGTTGTTGACACAGTCGTTTTTCAGATTGTGTTTGGGTCACAATGATGGGAACACGGCTGGATTTAACTATTGTTTCAGGGCTCCAGGCGTATGCAACCATTTTTTTAAATTGTGCAAGTTCAAATGTGACGTGATCGTATTTGTGCGAATGCATGGTCACACACTCGATCGGTGTCTACCTGGCTTTTTGCATTACAGCAGTTTCACACCGCGAGCGTGAGCAGGGCGTATATTTGCTGCGCTGCTCGCGCTCAATTAAAGTGAAAACACGCTTTTGCTGCACAAATGAAACCAAATATGATTTCCCACAAAAAGGGCTCAGAGTGCACAGAATATGCAATTTCTAGTGGGCTTAACAAGAACTGGAGTATGTCAGAAAAGTCATTTAAACTTGTAATTAATTTAGTTTGGGCAAAGGTGTATTTACAAAAAACTAAAGTAAAGTAGCCAGATATGTAAACTTACTTTTATATTAAAAAATAGTTTTTGTTGTTGTTGTCGTCTCATCAACATATCGAAGTATGACTGAAACAACATGATCGGAGCTGTTTTCTTGGTTGTGTTTGTTTACCATTTACATGCAAATGTTATACACACCCCGTGTTAAATCAATCTTTCAAGACTATCAAGTTTATAAATTACCAACTTATAAAAACAAATTCATAGGCTAGTTGTCTTTGTAAAGAAATGCTCAGTTATGTACTTTGGAGCCGCTGCTGTGATTCTGTACAAACGTTTCCAGTGTAAAGTTAATACAATCTCCTCAGTCCACCGGGGGGCGATCGAGACACTGGGTTTGAGCTATACTGGGACCAGCCACCGGGGGGCGATCAAGACACTGGGTTTATGAGCTATACTGGGACCAGCCACCGGGGGGCGATCGAGACGCTGGGTTTATGAGCTATACTGGAACCAGCCACCGGGGGGCGATCGAGACACTGGGTTTGAGCTATACTGGGACCAGCCACCGGGGGGCGATCAAGACACTGGGTTTATGAGCTATACTGGGACCAGCCACCGGGGGGCGATCGAGACGCTGGGTTTATGAGCTATACTGGGACCAGCCACCGGGGGGCGATCGAGACGCTGGGTTTATGAGCTATACTGGAACCAGCCACCGGGGGGCGATCGAGACACTGGGTTTGAGCTATACTGGGACCAGCCACCGGGGGGCGATCGAGACACTGGGTTTGAGCTATACTGGGACCAGCCACCGGGGGGCGATCAAGACACTGGGTTTATGAGCTATACTGGGACAGCCACCGGGGGCGATCGAGACGCTGGGTTTATGAGCTATACTGGAACCAGCCACCGGGGGGCGATCGAGACACTGGGTTTGAGCTATACTGGGACCAGCCACCGGGGGGCGATCAAGACACTGGGTTTATGAGCTATACTGGGACCAGCCACCGGGGGGCGATCGAGACGCTGGGTTTATGAGCTATACTGGAACCAGCCACCGGGGGGCGATCGAGACGCTGGGTTTATGAGCTATACTGGGACCAGCCACCGGGGGGCGATCGAGACACTGGGTTTATGAGCTATACTGGGACCAGCCACCGGGGGGCGATCGAGACACTGGGTTTATGAGCTATACTGGGACCAGCCACCGGGGGGCGATCGAGACACTGGGTTTATGAGCTATACTGGGACCAGCCACCGGGGGGCGATCGAGACACTGGGTTTATGAGCTATACTGGGACCAGCCACCGGGGGGCGATCGAGACACTGGGTTTATGAGCTATACTGGGACCAGCCACCGGGGGGCGATCGAGACACTGGGTTTATGAGCTATATTGGGACTGAGCGAGTGTGCGTTCACAGACACCAGAATGAACGAACTCACAGTAACGTTCATCAGGCAGTAACACAGTACGTTTAGTTCACGTTCGCCCCAAATATGAACAAGTTCATGAACTATCGACGCACAACACAGAATTCTGACCAATCGCAGTGCAGTTGTGGAAATGCGTTCAAGACGCACGCATCTGGCCAACATCGATATCGGCCAACAAGACACATCTGGATGTCACGTGACTGCATTTTGGTTAGTTTGTTTCGTCAACTGATTCGGACCAGAGCAATCAGTGTGGTGTGAAAAGGAACCAAAACGCCTGAAATGCTTCAAAGTATCATTTTTCGCCCTTGATGCAGACCAGTTGAACCGAACTACAGATGTGAAAGCACCCTAAGTCACCGACGAGCTTCCAAACCACCTAAAGATTCCTCTGGAAATCTCATAAGTCACTTCAGATACTAAAGCATTACGGCTCTTCAGAGACTGAGCTTGTTTTACACCGTGAAGACAGCTTGTGTAGTTATTCCTGCCTGGCCTCGTATGGCAGGGGATGCTGGGATTGAATGCCACAGTTTGCTCTCTGCTTTATTTATGGCCCGTGTAATGTAGCGTACAGTGGGAGCTGCAGTTAGTTTGAATGGCAGCCAGAATAGAGTCCTTATTCAAACAATATCAAGAGTCTCTGTCAAACTAGTCCCATTATTTGCATATTTACATGCTGACTTTTATTCATTCAGTGTTGCATTGTATTTTACAATCAATGTTAAACATCTGTTTTGTCTTTGCAGATCTTCCAGTGTCGCTAAAAGGGAGACCCCAAAGGTATGTACCTTCAAAATAATCATAATATAACATGTAATGCGTGTCCTAACTAGGTGCATTTCCAGTGTCAAATGCTGGCTTAGTGTGTTTAAATGCACAATAAAGTGCTAATAATTAACCACCCCAAAGTAGCTTGTTATAATATAAAGTGGGACCATGCATCATGTAGCTGATGATGTTCTCCATTCGTAGACTCGTAAACATAAATTGTGTTTTTGTCAAAGATTCAGATCGATGATCGAGTCCGTCAACATCTCAACGCTTCACAGTCGTTCCCTCTCTAAGGGTTCAACATTTCATTCAGTAACATTATGCAGTTTTGATTTATGCAGTTTGATGATTGAGATATTTGATCGCTCGTTTGTGCTTCTTCTTCACTGTGTTTTGATCAGGAGATTCTGTACTCTTTCAGAAGATGCGTAATAGCGCCCCCTACTGTATAACTCTGAAAACACGGATTGCTCGTCAATAGCAGGGAAAGAGTTACAGTAAGAACATATTTAAATGTATGGTGAGTTTGGACCAATTAGATTTCACCGTGGGCGGGGTCTCCTAAAGCATTGTGACAGGTTATAAATGAGGTATTCAATAAAACGCCTGGATCCAAATCAGTTGTTGCGGCGGCCGCGGGTGAGGTTTATAGCTTTGCATCACGCCTGGTTAGGACACGCATGTGACGTGTATAGCATGTTTGAAATGCCTGATCTGTTGCATGACACTGAAGAACTGAGTATTTCCCCTCATTACAGTTTGTTTCTGCACTCAGAAAGTTGGTGTAGAATTTAATTTGAAACAATATTGCTTGTCAATTTCACAAATGATTGCAAAGAAATGACACACAATGAATTTTGAAGTATGAAAACTGATAGTATTTTCTTGTAATATTTATTTTATTTATAACTTTGTTTTTTTTTCTGTGTGGGGAAATTTTTATGATATTTGTGTCTAATATTTGTAATGTTCATGAATAACCTAGGAGATTTAAAAGAAATAACAAATTTCGGATTGGAATATGCACAATATTAAGTTAATGTAATGATCAACGTTATTTAATGTTGACATCAGTTCTGCTGACAATGTCTGCAATTTAAACGGTTTGATTAAATCAAATAAATTAGATTTGCAACCACACTCCCAAAAAAAAAAAAATGCTGGGTTATTTTTACCCCAACGTTTGGGTTTGTCCATATTGACCCAACGGTTGGGTTAATACAACTCAGCGTTTTTTTAGAGTGCATGCTTTTAAGTTTAGTGTGCGTTAAGGCTGTAACGAGGGGACGTGGCTCCTGCATGTGTGTGCTGTGACGTGAGCATGTGCTGCATGTGTTTCATCACTTCCTGTAGGAGGAACCACTGGAGATCATTAAGCCTGTGCCCATCAGCCAAACGCCTGCAGCCGCCGCCAGTCTCGCCCCGGGCAGCAACGCGTACAATAAAACTGCACGGCCCTTCGGCGGGGCCGCTAGCACGGTTCGCTCCGTCAGCCCGTCCCTGACGCCCGTCGCACCCAAAGCCTCCATCCCCTCCGCATCTTCTGCATTCACTCCAGCGGCTCCTTCCCAGCCGCCGCCACCTCAACCACCCTTCCCACTCGGTGGCTCTGCCCACCGGCCATCTAGCTCCGCCCCTAAACCCGCCCCCTCCGCAAACTTATCATCCACGTCCTCATCTAGCTCCACCCATAACCCCGCCTCTGGCCGCTCCCCCTTTGCCAACTCGTCCTCCACTTCCTCCTCTGGCTCCTCCTCCCCGGCGAGAGTGACAGCTCCTCCCCCTCCGGCCCCCGTCGTCCCTCAACCCTCCGTCTATAACACGCCCATCAACCTCTACTCCAATGTGAACGCGTGCGAGGTGGCCATGGGCCAAAGACGTGGCCTGATGGAGAGTAAAGGCACTGGGGAACATCATAACGGGTAGGTTTGACTATTATCAGTTCTTGATACTTCTGTTTCCTTCGTTTACTCTTCCTCGCTTTTCTTTAGATGACACATTATGCCCCTTTTCACAAGATATAATATAAATCTGTGGTGTCCCCAGAATCCCCCAAAATCCCAAAAAATTCTAAAATCCCCCTGGTAATGTATCATAGCTTGACAAATTTACCCCATTTTGGGTGTGAGCAAAAACGCCGTTTTTTTTGTGTGTGTGTCCCTTTAAATGCAAATGAGCTGCTGCTCCGCCCCCGTTCAGAAGAGGGCGGAGCCTTTACACAAGCTTCAGATACAATAACACAAATACAAGCAAATCTGCAAAGCTGTTGCAACGAGCGAGCTACTTATTACACATCTTTATGAAGATTATAAATATATATTATCTTCTCCAGAGATCCCTGGTTGAAAACAGAGATGGGTTTAAAATAAGGAATATAAAACCTGTGGTTGGGTTAAAGCTCTTAAAAATGAATTACGCAGTGTCTTTATTTGTCTAAATAATCCTTTAGAAGTGAGTCTACTGTTCTAGATGAGTTCTGCTGATCGTTGCTTACGTAATGGCTGTTGGTTGAGTTTGCTCGTGTAAACAGTGCTTTATGGATGGTTACATCATTTTTTAATTGTCACAAATGCTGTTTTTGGTGCTGAAACGCATTTGGATGGGAGTTTCAGTCCACGGGATGTTTTGAAAGCTAGACAATACACACACAGCTCTCTGTGGGGGAGCGCATGGGAAAGTTGGGCGTTGGGAGAAAAGTGATGTTTTGAGCGAGTGACTCTCTGTACAGACAACCTCAGAATCACTTATTCCTTTCATTAACAGGCGTTTCTAGATGAGTATTTTCATTTACTAATTTATATTTATTTATTATAAAAAAATTTATTTTTTTTATAATTATTAGTATTATTATTTAAAGGGAAATGCTACTAGATACACTTGTGAATGTGCTACTCTTGTAAGAATAAATGAACACTGCAAAAATTATTATTTTTTTTGTTAAATTATATATATATATATATATATATATATTTATTTATCTATTTTTATTTATTTATATTTAATAATTACTATTTAATTATTATTAATTTAAATATAAATTTGAAATGTATCTATTTTATTTAATATTTATTTATTAATTTAATTATCTTATTTAATTATTTAAATTGAAGTATTAAACTTTGCGTGTAAGCGTGTAACCTTGTTTTTATATATATATATATATATATATATATATATATATATAAATATATTTATATTTATTTATTTATTTTTCTCCGGAAATGTCTTTGTGTTTAAAAGCACATTTTTCATGTCTTCACCATTTGTGGTGTTGTTTTCATAGATGGGTTTTATTTACTCACCCACTTTAGTTTTGACTTGGAAGTCAACAGCAGATCAAAGAAAAGTCGTAAAGCGGTAATGAGTCTGTCTGGGACCGAGCGCGCTCCCTCTCATGTGGTTTTAGTGATCCTAGTAAACATGTAAACTGTGTGTCCCACATGCTGAGACTCGGATAAACAAAACGCTCTGCTTGAGATTCTGACCACAGGAGGAGAGGAACGAGCAGCGGTTAATTCCTTGTTTTGGACGTGTTCCTCATAATATATTATTATGAGCTTCCTAATCCCAGTGATGGTGAAGTCAACAGGAAAAAGGGAAGAACAGTTCGACCTTTTTCCGTGACCGACTAAATCCCAGGAACGCTGATGGATTATCCAGAGAGATCCTCTCTTCCTTTGTCCTGATTGTCTTAAAGGGATCGTTATCCCCAAATAATGTTAACCCTTAACCCTCAGGTGCTCTTCGGTCATTTCTGACCGAAACATGTTCTGTTTTGAAATTTTAAAAATCACAGCTTCATCGCAATGTTACGAAACTTGGTGACTTTTATGGCATTATGTATGTGAACACACACAAAAATTGAGGTCATGATCTGAGCATGCTAAGTGGTCTTAAAAAAATAGTCACACTTGTGGTCTTTGGTCAAAAATGACCCCCATAAGAAATGAATGGGAAATTTGTCAAAAATGAAAAAAAAAAAAAAATTGTGAATTTTTGTTTTTTTGTCCAATTTTTTAATAAGAAATAGTTTTTGAGATTGTTTCAACTATATATTCAAATCCACCAACAACAACAACAACAAAAAATGTGTTCATAAACAGCTGGGGACTTCACATGCTTCTCCATAGAGAGCTGTACATGCCATCTAGTGGTTACACCATGATTCTACGCTTTTTCTCTATACTGTAACCAGATGGTGCTAATTTTCTTCAAAAAAATATTTTTTTCTGAAGGGCTAGACTCTATATTAAACTAAAATACTGCGTTAATATTTTTTTGAAAAAAATAATATAGAAAAATATATATATTTTTCCATGGCAAAAATAAACCATAAATATTGCATAAATATTAATAAATTCAATTAAATTGTCTCAAAATACTACATTAAAAAGAATAAATATTATAGAACAAAAATAAATTGCATTGGTTTTACTGGGATGGAGAAAGTTTCATTTTTAGGTGTCCGGTCACTTTTGACCAAGAAGATAACAAGTGTGACTCCGAAACGAAGAGCACCTGAGGGTTAAACGCGTACCTCGGATCTTTATTGACCCGGGACGACACTCATTTTTTAAAGTTAGACATCAACCTCCTTAGTATTCCTCAGATTATTCATTATAAAAATATAACAAGAAAAAATTATATATAAGAATGTCTGTTTTTGTGAAAAGTGTATTGGGTTGCTATAGTGACCCGACGTATGTAACAGTGGAAGTATTTATTTTTGATGACTGAATAAGTGCAGTTCACCTTTATTCCTCAAAGTGGCAGTGTTTGATCCACAATAATGACGTGATGTTTCAGTGCAGGCATTAAACAAGAATACATGAGTAGAATGGAAAAAAAAAAAACATTGGACAATGAACTACTTTTATGATATTTTATGGGGGTTTATTTTTGGGTTGTTTTTGTTGTATAGAAGCAGCTTTAACATTTAGCGTAACATCTTTTGTGTTCCATTGAAGAAAGTCAGTCACATAAGTTTGGAACAGCATTAAAAGTCGAGTACTTAGAAAACAGATATTATTTTTTTGGGTGAACCGTCTCTTTACATCATAGAGGCCTCAGAAGAGCATCCTGTTTTCCGTCTAATTTGGATTTGAAAGATTTGAAACATCAGTGAGACATTAAAGCTTGTGCAACTGTCTGTAGTTTCCAAACAGTAATCTCACACACACGCACGCACACACGCACTCACTCACTTGGACTCACACTCTTAGAAGAAAAGGTTCTATATAGAACCTTAAAAGGTTCTATCAGTGCTACGTATTTGGAACCCCTAAAAGGTTCTATACACTCTTAAAAAAAGGGTTCCTCTGGGTTCTATATAGAACCCTGGGGTTCCATACTTGGCCAATAGAACCTTTTACCAAAAAAATGGTTCTATATAGAACCATTTTGGAGTTCCATATATAAAGCGGGGGATGAACCATTTCTGGTTCTAAATAGAACCATTTCTTCTAAGAGTGCAGTTATCCTGCAGATGTAGATTGGTTCAGGTCGTCAGTGATGTTGTGATTCTGAAGCGTCGTTGTTATTTCTCCTCCTGCTGGTCTTTCCACTCATCATGTTCGCCGCCCGGAGCTCTTGGTGTGTGTATCTCTGAAAACACACCTGGTGTTTGCCGCTGTTGTCCACGGGACGCACCTGTGCTGAGCTTCCCCTCACATCAGTCCATCATCCCGTCAGAGCCGCCCAACCCTTCTGACCACAAATATTTACTTCAACTCTTAATTATCAAGGGTGTGTAAGTTATCAGTGCAATTGAACAACAGCTCCGCACGTTCACGGCTCTCCGGTGTCGGTTAATGGTCACATTGTTTTTCATGTTTTTTTTTTTTTATATTATATTTTCATCATTTTTTATTTATTTAACTTTTATATGATTTAATTATTAGTTATTTTTATTAGTTATATATGTTTTTATTAGTAATATAAAATATTATTTTCGTGTTTTTTTATTTTAATAATAATTATAAATTGTAATCTAACAGTTATGATTTGTGTTTGTTTTAGTATTAGTTTTTTATTAGTAAGTGTTTTATTTTTAATACAAATTATTTATTTTAATTGAACTTTTTTTTATAATTTAATTACCATTTATTCTGATTAGTTTTATTAGGGTTTTTGTTGATGTTTAATTATAATGAATTGATTTATTTTGATTTCAATTCTTTTTAAAGTTATTTTATATTTTTTGTAAAATGATTTAGATTTTTTTTTTATTTTGATTGCATTTATTTTGTTTTTAATAACGATCATTGATTTAAATTATCTTTTTTATTTAATTATTAGTTATTTTTTATAGATTTTTTAAAAATGTATTTGAAAGATATTTTCCATTTGTTCAATCTTCTATTATCAATCCTCGTTAATATTAATTTCAACATAATACATTATTAAAATCAAAAGTTGTTTCTGTTAATATTATTTAATGGCCCTGAGCTGACATGAGCAGTGGTATTTTTGTTAACGAAGATTAACAAATGTATTGCTTAATACTTAAATCGATCCATCTTATCTAGGGCTAACTAATGGGTCCTTATTGTAAACTGTTGCTGTAATTATTTAAAAATGTATTTATTTTCATCTTTAAATAGACGTGTATGTTGAGTGAGTTAGACAGTGTGTGTTTACAGACATCTGGTCGCTGCTCCTCATTTACCGTGTTTAGCGTCCACCTCGGCAGGATTGTGTGTGTGTGTGTGTGTGAGATCCTCTACGAGACTTTCCAGCTGCGTTTACACACTCCCCTAATTAACATCAGCAGCCGGAGTGAGTTCAGACCCGCATTAAAGTCATTAACTCCACTGATGGAGGTGCAGGCTCTTCTGTGTGTGTGTGTGTGTGTGTGTGTGTGTGTGAACTCACTCAAGCACATGAACGCTGTAAGGGGTGCTATAGCAGGCCTTAACACTGCATTTTTATGGGATTTTTTACCTTCAGGTCTTGTTTACCTGTAAAATATCTAAACATCTTTAAAACAAAAAGAAATATGAAAATAATAAGACTTATTATGAATTATGAATTATCCTTAGTGACTTAAAATAGATGTAGATTTATTTTTATTTTAGCAGAATATTTAATACTTAGTGTTTTTTTAATATAGTATTATTTATTTATTCATTTGTTATTCAGAAGACTTTTATCCTTTGTTTCTTAAAATACGTTTTTAAAATAGACTTTTTTATTATTTAAGCAAATTTTTTTATCCTTAGTGACTTAAAATGTATGTAGAATTATTTATTTTAACAGAATCTTTTATCCTTAATGATTTAAAATGTGTTTTATTTGTTTTAGATTTATTTTACTTTTTTAGCACATGCTCCAAAGTGACTCATAAACGAGGAATACAAGAAGAGATTTACCCAAGACATACATGTATATGTTCTCTATTTTTAAAAAGTTAGTTTGTCATACACTAGTGTCAGATGCGGTCAACATGTTTATATCTAGCGAGCTGAATAATGATTCAATTTAACTTGGTGCTCTTGCGTTTGTGTTCTTGTGTGAGTGTCTGTTCGGTCTGCATGTGTGTGTGTGTGTGTGTGTGTGTGTGTGTGTGAGTTTCTGCATGTGTGTGTGTGAGTTTCTGCATGTGTGTGTGAGTTTCTGCATGTGTGTGTTGGTGATTCATTTCCTCTCAAACAGAAACACACTCTCTCTCTCTCTCTCTCTCTACAGGAGGAGCCCATGACAAAGTTAGTGTTCTAGATGCAGTATTGTTCTGGTATCTGTGTGTGTGTGTGTGTGTGTGTGTGTGTGTGTGTTCTTTCACCATCTCTAACCCAGCGACACACACATGATCCCTCTCTCTATCTCTAGTGCTGCACTGAGGGGTTTAGATGAGGATAGTGTGCTAGTGTTCATCATGTGCTGCTGTCAATCATCATGTGTGTGTGTTTATTCACGGCAGTGGGATTAATTCTCTTGTGTGTTGTATAAATAGCAGCGGTGACATTTACCTCCGCATGCATTGTTACAGATGAGAGAGATTTAGCAGAAAGTCAACATTAGTTAAACACTCGAGACAGTGGAGCCATCTAGTGTTGGCAGTCGGGACAGTTCAAGCTCAACGTCTTAAAGGCCTGACTTAAAATGTCTAATAAAATAGTAATAATCGTTTTTAAATAAAAAAAAGTTTATGAATTAATCTAAATGTAAAATATTTTTTTAATTCTCTTTGTTGCCACTTTGTTCAGTTACTAACAACTAAAATCATAAAACATTTGTTACTTGAAATAAAATATACATTTATTTCAGCTTGCTGCCAGTATTTCTCATTTTCATTTATTTTGACTTTATGTACTAAAATAAACTCATAAAATTGACAAAAACAACATAATTACTAAAACTTTAAAACCGATATATAACAATATAAGTATAATAGAAAAAAATACAATATAAATAAATTGAAGCAAATTAAAAAATATTAATAAAAACGCAAAAATATCTGATAATAAAAAGAGCACAGGTAATTTTCTATAAAAAATATTTTCCTTTTTAATCTGTGGAAAATATCAGCACTTATAATGACTGAAATTTGGGAAAATGTATAATACTTAATTAAAAGATATTCTGTATTTATATATTACATTTGCCTGCAGAATTTAAATAAACTTTTGTTGACCCCTCCCCCCACTAATAATAACAACAACCACCACCACCACCATAATAAATGTCACCAATATATAAATCTAAAATAAAATAACAATATTTTTTTGACATTTTATTTCCATAGTGGACCTCAGAGTATTCTTAAGTAAGTAGAAACAGTCTTAATATGAATTATGGGTGATTTTCCATCTCTTTTCTCTGATTCTCTTGATTTCTGTCTTTTCTTCAGAAAGACTCCTCCCAGGTAAACCGATCCCAGTGTTTTATATCCAGCTGTTGTTGTGTTGAATGTTTAGTAATGTAGTGTGTGTGTGTGTGTGTGTGTGTGTGTGTGTATCAGAACGGCCCGTAAGCCCGTGTCGGAGCCGGAGCTGAACCACGTGCCTCCGCCCAGTGACTCCAGTAAGAAGCGTCTGATGGAGGACACGGAGGACTGGCACCCGCGCACCGGCACGTCCCAGTCGCGCTCCTTCAGGATCCTGGCACAGATCACCGGCACAGAAAACGGTACGAGCCGCTCAACTACACTATCTGTATATGGGTGAAACTCGAAAAATTCGAATATCCTGCAAAAGTTCATTTACAAAAAAGTTCAACTTAAAAGGTGAAACTAATATATAGACTGATTACATGCAAAGTGAGATATTTCAAGCCTTTATTTTTTTATAATGTTGATGATTATGGCTTACAGATATGAAAACCTTTTCACAATATTCTAATTTTGGATTTGGGGTTTCCATAAGCTGTGAGCCATAACCATCACAATTATAACAAATAAAGGCTTGAAATATCTCACTTTGCATGTATTTCTGATCCTTACTTGTGTTTTCTTTTGTACGTGATATGATCATGTTCATGTTGTTATCCTGATTATATTTGTAACGCTCAATATTGTGTAAAGTCTTTGAGTTGAAAGGCGCTATATAAATAAAACGTATTATTATTACTATTATTATTTTTTAAAGTCTTTCTTGCTTCTCTCCTCTAGATCAAGCTCAGGAGAACCGGCCTGGAAAGAAGTAAGTTCTGCGTCTCCATCAGATCTGATTATTCACGCTCTTCTCTCGCAATATAGTCTATGAAAATTACATATAATAGTTATAAATTCTATACGATTTTTTTTTAATTATGCATTGTGGATTATATGTCTATTTTATTTACTTTATATAAATATTATTATAAATATGTAAATATTATTACATTATTATTATTTTATCATTTTTTTATTATTAAAAACAACATTTATAAATATGGTATATTATTATTATTATTAATAATAATAACTAGGCCTATATGAAAATAATGTGGATTATATGGTAATACGTGTATATATATATATTTTTTGTATTTTTATTTATAAATATTATAAACCTATAACTATTATATTGTATAGTATTAATAATATTATTATTATTATGAATAATAATATTTATAAATAAAAAATACTATATTATGTTTATGTATTGCATTCATAAATAATATATAAATTAAATAATAAAATGATGCATTGTGTGTATTATATAACAAAATATATGTATACATTTATATATTATATATAAATATGTATATATTATATATTATATTTATGTATTATTCATTAAAAATTATATAAAGGATTAAATATAAGATTATACATTGTGTATTTTATATATATATATATATATATATATAGTACAAATATATGTGATTCAAAAATTTTAACAATATTTACTCTAAATTTACTCTAAATATTTATAAAATTGTAACAATATTAACATAATTTCTAACTGTAAAATGTAGTGTGTATCTGTTGAGATCTGTTGGGGCTGATACGGTCTGGGCGATACACTGATCTGACACTACACACACACACACACACACACACACCTCTCTGAAGCGATTGGTATTTCTTGATGGATTATGAGGTTATCCTGAAGTTTGTGGCGTTTCACTCAGTCACTGTCCTCCTGCTTTCTGAAACTGATCACTGTTGACTCCAGCTGTGTAATCAGTTTATTTCCTCTCTGTCCTTCTCTCTCTCTCTCTGTGTGTGTGTGTGTGTGTGTGTGTCAGAGTGAATAAAGTGGACCCAGAGCTGCTCCGGCCTCAGTACAACAAGCTGAGAGACTGGCATCATGGGGTCTCGGCCCGAGCGCTTAATATGTAGTCCATCCGCCCAAACCTTCCGATCCCAAATCCGAAATATCCACACGCCCGTCAATCACAGAGAAACAGTCATGTGACTGGTGTGTGAAGAGGGTCCTGTCGTCTGCTTCCTCTGCGTGTGTTTCTCGTCTGTATGTCTGGACTTTCTTTCATCGCTCAATAAAGCTTTTCTTTGGTCTTTCTGCATCTGGTGTGTGTCGTCTCTTCTCTTTCTTCTCTTCTGCTCTGTTCTTGAACTGTGACTGTTGAAGCGAGCTTCAGTTCTGTTTTCAAGAAGCATTTATATACAGTATACTTTTCCAACATTTTTTAATTTTTTTGAAAGAAACTAAATGTATTTATCAAGGACTCAAACTGATCAAAAGAGACATTTATAATGTTACAAAAGATTCTCTTTCAAATAAATGCTGTTCTTTTGAACTTACTATTCATCAAAGAATCATTGAGGAATTATTAAAACACACTCTTGGCCATTTGCCTTTTCTGTCTCTCCCTAATTACGTAGATAGAGCTGTAATTATATGTCTATCACTGCACTAATGAAGCTCAGCGGTTGATCAGTCATTCGAGACGCCCTTTATAGAGCCCGTCTGAGACACAACATCTGAACATTTCCAGTGTTTTATATTAGTGATAAATAACAGATTTGTCCCTCTGACTGTCTGTATTTCTCTCTCCTGCGATTCCTCTATGCATTAGTAATCGGCACATTTGTCCTCAGGAGCCGAAAAACCCTCAAAACTAAATGAAATGTGTTTCAATCAGAGCACTTTGTAAACCTGAGGGCTGATTATATATTAATGCATCTATTCGCTTTAATGCACCTTCATTGTTTGCCACAGGCTGGCGCAGTTCTGATAGTGGACAGTAGGGGGCAGCACTGCATTTCCTTAAAGTGTCTCTCTTGATCAAAAAATGCAGTAAAAACAGTGAAATATTATTGCAATGTAAAATAACTCTTTTCTATGTGAATATACAGTAAAATATAATTTATTCCTGTGATCAAAGCTGAATTTCAGCATCATTACTTTAGTCTTCAGAGTCACATGACCCTACAGAAATCACTCTAATATGAGGATCTGATGATCAAGAAACATTTATGATGGTTATCGGTGTTGGAAACAGTTGAGCTGCTTCATATCTGTGTGTGTTTTTAAATCTTACTTTTCAAAAGTGATGCTTTCATTCAGAAAGGCTACATTTAAAATGATCAAAAGTGACAGTAAAGACATTTATAATGTTACAAAAGATTCTGTTTCAAATAAATGCTGTTCTTTAGAACTTTAAATTCAACAAAGAATCCAGAAAAATAAAATATCAGTTTCCTCAAAAATATAAAGCATTATAAAACATTAATATGATGTTTTTGTTAATAAGCTGAGAGTGTGTGTGATTTATTTGTTTATTAGACTAATACAGACTAGAAACAGAATGTGTTTTCGTTTTTAATAGACTCCGTGTGGCGATCAATAAAGATTTGGGGTTTAATTGGGCCGTATGTTGGCTCTCCGTGGATTAAATTAATTTTGCAGTGAGTGAGTGTGTGTGTGTGTGTGTCGACGGTCCTGCTGTCGGTGTTTCACGCATGTTTCCAGCTGGTCAACGTGTGTGTGTGTGTGTGTGTGTGTGTGTTGCTGCTGTGATTGTGATGCAGGATTGTGTGTTTGCATTGGATGCGACACCACAGAAAAGTAACAGATGGTATTTAGTGATAAACCATAATATACTGTATCATCTACAAACATGGCACTGTCAAGTTCATCATTTTAGCATGTTATTGACCTGTGTGATTGTAGACGAGTGAAAACACTTAAACCGAGCACAAAAATACATAAAAATAATTGACTTATCATAAAATCATAAAATAATGACTTTTTAGGAACTGAATTGACAATGACAAACACATAAACCATAATTGTATTTTGTAATAATGTATTATAACATTGTATTTCATAATTATTATTATTATTATTATTCTCAGTGGTGAGGCTGATTAGAGTTTCATTAAAGTAATACAATATAAAATAATTAAATGCTTTTTATTTAAATCAGCATATATTATATTAAAAGCTGTGCAATAAGTGATATCGTGATGTATAAATATTTTTTACAATTACATTTTTTTGGAGCAATTTAGAGAAATTAGAATATTTTGTAAGGTGTTTAATTTTCATGAAATTGTGACAGTACTTTAAAACTTTCTTGCAAAGCATGAACATGAGGCACAAAACATTTGGGTTGACTTATTCGTTCACAAGGGAAAATGTTTTATTCATCAAAATGTTTTATTCAGTGTATACTCTGCCATTCAAAAGTTTGTAGTCAGTATTAATTTTAAAAGAAAAAGAAATTAAAGAAGTTAAGTTTTATTTATCAAGGTTGCATTAAATGGATTAAACGTGACGGTAAATACATACACAGTGATGTGAATAAGTTAGGACACCCATGCTAAAGTTGCCTAAAAAGAGGAATAAAAAATCATCTTTTGGAAATTGATCTTAATGCATTAATTAAAAAAAATGAGGAGAAATCCAACCTTGAACAATGTATCGTAAATAATTAAAAGTTGTTCCTTAAAATAAATTCAGGACACCCCTATGTTAAATTCCCATAGAGTCAGGCACATTTATATTTTTAAAGGCCAGTTATTTCATGATCCAGGATACTTTGCACATCATCACACACCCTTCACCACACCTAGAGATCGGCACGGGGTACCGTACTTTCCATAAGATCTTCTCTCAATGCAAATCAAAGCAGAACTGAAATAAAACCATGCCAATCTCTTGGTGTGGTGAAGGGTGTGTGATGATGAGGGATATTTTAGTCTCAAAGGCCAAGGGAACTTTATCAGGATGCGTTTCATCAATGTGTCTTGATCATCAGATCCTCATATTAGAGTGATTTCTGAAGGATCATGTGACCCTGAAGACTGGAGTAATGATGCTAAATTCAGCTTTGATCACAGGAATAAATTACAATTTAATATATACTCACATAGACAACAGCTGTTTAACATTGTAATAATATTTTACAATATTACTGTTTGTTTTGTATTTTTAATCAAATAAATGCAGCCTCATCCCAAACTTTTGAACGACAGTGCATAAATTGAATATAAACTGATGCTTGTTTTTGGGTGACACGTGACCCGGTCATGCTTTTGAGTCCTAGTGAAACAAGGGCATTTCAGCGGCGGCCGTTGTGTTATCGGCACTGGTTTTCTTCATTAGCAAACCATCTGGGACCGCTTGTGTTTGATCAATCTGCTCCTGTTTGGAGCCAGAACATCACTGAAGGGCTCGGGACGGGTCCGTCAGGTCGATGACGGAGGGTGTTTAGTAGTGAATCAGCGATCCGGGTCTCTGTTTGAACATCCTCCGTCCTGCGGTCTGACCACACGTCCACATGAGTCCGCTTGTGCGGGACTGGAAACCAGCTTTTAACCCTCACAATTTTTGTGAAAAATATTTAAAAATTGAGTGTTCATTGGAGGGGTCCAAAACCCCATTACTTTTGTCACACTTGAACCAGGAATACACACACAAAAAATTATGAGATTCAAGGAGTTTTGTGACCCCCATAGGAATGAGTGGAATGCTTCAGTTCACACAGAAAACCCTAAAAATGCTCAAAATTCAAACTAAAAATGCTAAAACTATACCAAAAAAAATGTTGACGTGTAGCTGAATGCATACTGAAGAAAAACTGACTTTAGGACCCAGCAGAACAGCTCATTTACTCCACATAGAGCTATAAGGCCATCTAGTGGCAAGAGTCATGAAAGATCATGTTATATATATATATATATATATATATATATATATATATATATACTGTATATATATATGAAGAGTTCAGATGCAAAAGCCTCTAAATGCCATTTGAAATTTTCTTCTTTAATGATGATTTTTATCAAGCTTGTATATTTAAGTTCAGTGATTATATTTAAATGGCAATGATAATTACTGAACTTAAATATACCAGTTTGATAAAAATCATCATTAAAGAAGAAAATTTCAAATGGCATTTAGAGGCTTTTGCATCTGAACTCTTCATATATATATATATATATATATATACACACAATAGGTCGGTAAAGACACCCAATGTAAGATATTTAGAGCTGAATTAAAAGGTTTATGCAAGAAATTGTGAGTTATTTTGAATTTTAGTTGATTTGCTTAAATTACTATTTATTGATTATTTATTGATTTAATCTAGTAATTTAAAGGTAGGTAAAAAAAAATGCATAATAAAATAAGCTTTCTGGACACACACAAAAAGAACGCGTAATTTTCAGGCGTTGAGTCATTTTGATTCGCGAGGGAAGGTTGAGTCCGGATTGCCGTTCTGATGGTATCCGGCTGGATGTTTAAGTGCTTGTTCTGTGTCTCTCCAGCGAGGCCGTAGAGGAGGTTCAGTCCAGCTCTCATGCCACGTCTTCAGTCAAAACTATGAGCAAAGGTCCCGCTGGAGCTCCTCGACAGGGCAACGGTGTCCCGAGCTGGCAGTCTGCACACACCACAGGTGAGGCTCCATACACACCCGCTCCGGCAGGACACATCCGGTCTAACCGTGGACTCAGGATTCAGCCATCACATATAACTTTGTGCAGACTAAATATCTCATTTAAATAAATGCAAGTTAAGTAGAATTTCTAAAAACACAAAATGATAATCAATACAACAAAAACAATACAGACAAAACCAGTGCAACGTCACATATTGCACAGAAATGCTCGTTTACATGCACTCCCATCTTCTCAAAGAAGACGGATATAAATTAAAAGGTAAAAGCAGTTTACACGATTATATATATTTTGTAATTTTATAGTACATGGGTACAATTTATATTTGTCTTCAGAAATGATCTCAAGCATTTCAGCTGAAACCTTCAGTCAAATCTGTCTCTATTGCTGTGTTAATTTAAGATTATTTATCTAGTCTTTTTTAATAGTATTTATTGTTTTTGATTAGTTTTTTTTATTTTCAGTTTTCATTTTAATATTAGTTTTATTTAATATATGTGTATGCATATGTATATCTGTAATGGTTTTTGTTTCCAATAACAACACTGAATATTATTTTATAATATTTTATATTCTAATATATTATGTTACATTCAGTGTAATCTTACTGTTATTTATATACTACTATTGTGTTTATTAATATTTTGAAATACTATTTTTTAATTTGTTACTCATTTTATGTGCTTTTGTCTTTTTCATTAGGTTTTAATAACTTTATTTTTTTAATTATAATTATTATTATTATAAATAAACTGCTAATAAGCTTATTAAATAATTTCAGCGGTTTAATAAGTCTATTATTTAAGACAGAAATTGTTAGTATTATAATATTATACTTATGAAGAAATAGTACATTATACATACATCAACCAATCATTACGTTTTTTTTTAAGTATAAAGTGTTTTATATAATATGTATTTACATTTATTTCAGTTAGTTGCCAAGGAAACCTAAAAAAAAAAACTTTTTTAGTTTAAGTATAATAATTCCAATTTTAAGTTATTTCATATCTGCTTTTTTTCAATGATTTTCGATGATTTTGAATAGTTTCAGTTTTAATGAACGCGCGTCAGCTCCTCGTGTGTCCTGCAGAGGGCAGACTGCACTCCTCGATCTGAAAGCTTTGAGTTGATGGACTGAACACACGAGAGCTGTTGTATCCAGAAAGCCTGAGCGATGATGAGCGGTCACGGACTAACCAGAGGTGGTGTTGGTTTTACTCGCGGGTCGGAGGGTAAATGTTGAATCAGGTGATCTTTATTGTCGGTATGTGGAGAGGAAAGGCCTCATGTTTACCCATCATGCCCCTCTCCGGGCTCTTAAGTGCTGACGGCAAACACAGGTATCTCTGTGTTATATACGTGTGTGTGTGTGTGTGAGTAAACCTGCTGGAGCGCCTCCACACACTGCAAAAAATGATTTTCTTAGGCTACTTAGTATTTTTGTCGCGTTTCCAGTCCAAATATGTACAAATTCTTAAATCAAGATGCATTTACTAGAGGAGTGAAATGAAGATATGTGTTTTCAGGGGTAATAAATCAAAATAAAAGTGAGTTTTAGCCGGTTTTAGCTTAAAAAAAGCTAAAATAATCTTAATAATGTTATTTTTCTTACCCCATCGGCAGATAATTTGAGCTAAAACTCTGATTTATTATCCCAGAAAGCAAGACATGATATCTGCTTAGTAATGCATCTTGATGTAAGAATATTTCTGTATTTGGACTGTAAACGAGAGCACGTCCGTAGCACCGGATGACCCGAGGACGGCGAGGGTCAGCGGTCGGGTGGCGCAGGAGTTCATCAGCACAGGATCTCTTCCATTAAAGCTCATCGCAGCGATTGCTTCCAGACGGATAACACATGGGCTTCATTTCTCTGAGAAACTGCGTCCTGATGTTTCTCTCAGAAACACTGCTGGGGTTTATACTGTTCATTCCATCATTTAGCAGACGCTTTTATCCAAAAGCCACTTACAAATGCGGAGAGCAATAGAAGCAGTGAAACCAACAATAGGACAACAATATGCTGAGATGTGATGGGAATGGGATTAGACCTTCACAACAATTGTGATTTCTTTCTTTCTTAGTTAATGTGTAAAATATAAAATAATGATGTAAACTTTCTTATATTTATAACATTAATAATTTATATATTTATTGACAATTGATATAATAATTGAATAATTCATTTAAATGTATATAAGTTTAATGTATATAATAATTGCTACTTTAAATATTTAATATGTATATATTTTTTTATTTTTAAATATTTAAAGGATCAATTATTATTGTGATAAATATTTAAACTATACATATAAAATATTATTTTTATATTTGGTCATTTATTATATATTATACATTTTTTAAATGATACATTTTTATTTATAAACTTTATACATTTTATAAACTTTATACAACTTTATACATTATTAATATAAATTAATAACAAACTTGATTACATTATATATATTTTTTTAATTTGTAAAATCATATTTTAAAATGTTTAAATGACCAATGATTAATATTATAAACATTTTATGATTTAAAATCTTAATTGTTATAATTAACAATTTAATATACATGCATGATATATTTACCGATATTTTTTTTTAATATATATATGTATGATGATATGATTACGGTAATTATAAACGTATACATTAGTACTATGAGTCATTAAGAAATTATATAAATTATATACAGTATTTAAATACATTTATATAAATAAGTATTTAATTAATCCTAAAAGTTTTTTGTGAATAATTATATGTATTGGTTATTTATATTCACATTTATATACAGTATGTTATTTAAAATATTGGAGCCCATTCACAACTCTTTCTGTAAAGAGCACTCAGCTGTCGACCTCGCGATCTGCTACCGCACGTTTGACAGACGGATATATTGAGGCGACAGAAACGTTTCCTCGTCCTCCGACAGACGCTCAGCTGACAGGAAGAGCTCGTCTTATCTCACTCCAGTCTCTGTGAATAAATCTGTGATTCAGCTGACCTCTGACCTGCTGCCTCTCACTGATCATCTCTAGTTGAAGTTCTGTTGGACAATCGCATATTTTCCAGCTTGATGTTTCATGCTGATATTCATATATATATATATATATATTTATATACACAGTGATGTGAATAAGTTAGGACACCCATGCTAAAGTTGCCCAAAAAGAGGAATAAAAAAAATCATCTTTTGGAAATTGATCTTAATGCCTTAATTAAAAAAATGAGGAAAAATCCAACCTTTAACGACACCAATTTTCTTTGTGTATGAATAATGTATCATAAATTAATAAATGTTCTTCCTTATAATACAATTCAGGACACCCCTATGTTAAATTCCCATTGAGTCAGGCACATTTTTATTTTTAAAGACCTTACATTATATATAGATAACACAATTTTCTTAAATATATACATGCATATGTGTGTATTTATATATATATACAAATTAATTATTACATATATTATGTAAAGAAAAACTTGCTATGCGATTACTAACATTTTATTTTGGATGCGATACAATGCAAAGTCTGTAAGAATGACAACTAGTGGTCGAAATAGGTACTGCAGTCCAAATTCAGAAACCGGAGATCGTTGTTTCTCCCGCCTCCTCAGACTCGAAGCTCACACGGGGTCGCCAGTTTGAGACACGCATCAGGAACGAGCGCAATGGACAATCAACGTTAGTACCGTGCAGAATCACAGACTAAAACAAACACACACATTCCAGCGTGAAATAAGTGGCTGTAGAAGTGTTTTTCAGAGAAACAAGTGTGTGAACTCCTTAATATATGCAAACACATGGTATTTGTATGCTTTAGTCGAGTGAAAAAGCATCATTGTTAGGTTAGTTATATAAAGAACTGTCCCTCCAGATGCCTGAGAGCGTCGAGCTTCAGCACAGGCTCATTCGCACGGGTCTGTCGGCTCGTTTTCCCTCCGTTACGCGTAAATCAAGGGAGCACATGCTCTGTGACCCCGCAGCTTTGATTCCAGCACCGTCTGAATGAGCCGCTCTGTGCCTCGCTGACCTCTGACCTCTCGGAGAAGGCAAGGCTTGTCCTTCCACTCCCTGAAACGGAGGGTTATTTTGCCAGGTGTCTCCTCCAGTTCTGGGAATGTTGTTTTCTCCCCCCTCCGTCCTGAGTAAATCGATCCATTGTTTTTGGTGTGGATGTCCCGTCCGCAGATGGTCCGACGAGAAGAGATAGAGTTCATATATCTTAACTAGAACTTTCCATCACCTTCGGTCACGCTACACGGCCGCGCACAAAACCGGGCGATCTCATTACCCGTTTGGGTCTGGCGTAACACAGACGCTGTTGTGGGTGAAGTTCAGCGAGGGGTCGCACAGATTGAAATCTCTTTCTCTTTGATTATTAGGGCTTCCTAAAGCAGGTGCACCTGCGCCTCAGACGGGACGGGTCAGCAAAGGGCCCGTGAAGGGACCCGATCGACCCAAACCTCAAGCTCATCCCAGTGACCAGGACGATTCGCTGGTGCAGAGAGCCGAACACATCCCAGCGGGAACACGGACACCCATGTGCGCTCACTGCAACATGGTCATCAGGTCAGACACACACACACACTCCTCCATCACGAGACTCATGTCCAGTCTTCAGAGTCACATGATCCTTCAGGAATCACTCGAACATGAGGGTCTGATGATCAAGAAATATTTACCATTATTATTAATGTGTGCAATTTTATTTCAGGATTCTTTGAGTGTAAAGTGTAAAAGAACAGCATTTCTCCACAGGGGGACTTTAGCTAATGCTAACTAAGGCTACGTCACCAGCGTTTCAGGCGTTTTCGCTAAACTCCCCTTCACAGCGCATGTGTGAACCCTCACAAACACTCACTGAGATGATACAGGTGAAAAAAAATAGTGACTGACTTAGCAGATTCACTGATCGTCCGGTCGAGTAGCAGTGCTTCGCCTTCGGAGAATATAGTTCCCAGTGTTTCTCAAACTTTTTCTGCCATTCCCCACTTTGAAGGTAGGGAAGGGTTCGTGCCCCACCCTTGTGTGAATAAACTAGGCTTTAGTTAAACTGTATTTTATCAACATGACATTTTAAAAACAAAAACTCGACAGTAGATACAAATAATAATGCAAATGTGTTTGTATTTTGCCTCTGATAGCATCAAATAGTTAATGAGGTGGTAAAATCCTAATAATGTTCATATTTTAGGTATTTTTTAATAATAATTGTATTTTGTATTTTTCGAAGACTATCGTATAAGCCACTGTGTTTCCCACAGTATTTTGTGTGTAGTGTGGACCATCTGCACATCTAAGGGGTGTGGAAGAAAAGTTTGTGCGTTTTAAAGATAAATTCATATTTCTGGTGCATTTTGAAAGTTCATAATTAAGTGATTAGCTAATCAGTCCCTCCAGAAAAACGCGATTATGCGATCGCTGAATTCAATGCAAAATCAGCCAAAGTCCGCATATTTATTTTTTTTCAAATACGCCGCACTTTCGCCGCATAAATTGCAGATTCCCGTGCAAAATATGCGGGGTTTGCATAATTTCATAATCCTCGCATTTTCGTTGCAAAAAAAGTCACATGTATCTTAGCAGAAAGTTGAAAAATGTTGCGTTTGCTTCACACAAGAGCAGCCATTTCCCCCTGTTTCCATGGGAACGTTATGAAGTGACGCAATTACGCGACGGGATAGCTCAGACAGACTCACGGAGGCGATCGACATCTCACAAATCGAACTCGTATAACTGTCCGTCACACGTTCTACCATCACATCGTTACTTAATAAACAACATAAGATAAAAGAAGTAGCATCAAACAGAAATTACCCGCACGAGGCGCACATATAACACTGCAGAGAGTTCAACAGGGAGCGCACAGCTCTTAAAGGGGCCACACCTTATTTACACTCGTTACAGTCTGAAATAAAACAAGATGAGAAATTAAATATTCCCAGCACTTTCTATGATGTAGTATGCTTGCTTATCAAAGGAAGTAATAAGAAATGACTCTTACATTAGCCTAGTGAGAACAGGATGTTGGGGGAATCACTTTATTTCTCTTTTACATCAAACCGCAATTTTTGCAAGTTCCCTCAATTTTTGCAAATTCCTGCAATTTCATCGCATAAAAGAAGAAAATAATTTCTAATCATAAGATTGCCTTACAAATAAAGCTGATCCATCACTTTGAGCTGTCAATTTTCCTAAATGTTTTATTTTCAGACATCACGAGAGTAACGTAACGCTTGGTACTTTTAACGTGACGTTATAACAGGAATATCTACAGTATGGCAAGATCTCGTTTCAGTTGCTGCATTCGTCCTCGTGATCATTTTCTTTTTTCCTTTGCATTTCACTGATAGGAAAAAAGGACAACATATTCTGCACATTTAGTTTGACATATATCCCATTAATAATTCACTGGAATGGAATCTTGAATGAATCACAGAGATTCTCTGCTCTAAGAATGTTTGATTTCCCGGTTTGTCTGTCCTGACACTGTTGAACAGCCGAGTCGATGTCGATCGGGTCAGGGTAACGTGAGGACGGCAGCGGGGATGCGGGTTACAAATCGGATGATTAGCTGGGAGGGAAAACAACAGACAGCGGCGATATCAAATGCAGAAAGCGGAGACTTTAAGCTTGGATGTCACGGGTGTTTCGGCAGGAGTCTGGCAGTCTGTGTAACGGATCCGACGCTCGGGTCGAGCTGAAGGAGTCCGAGCTCCTCGACCACACATCTGTTCAATAGCATTAATCCATGACCATTTATTGGTAACACTTTACAATAATAAGCTTCATTAGTTATTGTGCACTAACAATCAGCAAAACGTTTGGGTTACACTTTATTTTACAGTGTCATTGTTATATATTTAAGTGATGAGTTATATTAATTACATAGGGTTAAGGTAGGGTTAGGATTTGTTTGAGGGCGTGCAATATATGTAACAGTGACCTTACATATAAAATAGTGTTACCAACATTTGTTATAGTATTTATTAATCTTTGTTAATGTACGTTCATAAATATACTGCTGTTCATGTTAGTTCACAGTGCATTTAAATAATGTTCACTAACACAACCTCTGATTGATAATGTATTAGAAAATGTTGAAATTAATATTAACTACTGTAAAAAATATTTTCAAGATTTGTTATCACAACATATTTTTTTTTTGTTGAATCATCAACTTTATAATAATTTATTTAGTTGAGATAACTTATTATTTTGAGTTTCTGATGGTTAAATTAATCTTCTTCATTGTATTAACTCACTTTTTCCAGTTCAATGAACTTAAAATTTTAAGGCAACCAGGTTACTTACTTTTTTAAGTTAAACCAACAATATTTTTTTTACAGTGTAGTAATCACAACATTTTTTCTTTTGTCAAATCAACTTAAATAATTTATTTAGTTCAGATAACATATAATTTTGAGTTTCTGATGGTTAAATTAATCTCCTTCATTGTATTAACTCACTTTTTCCAGTTCAATGAACTTAAAATTTTAAGGCAACCAGGTTACTTACTTTTTTAAGTTAAACCAACAATGTTTTTTACAGTGTAAATGCTGAAGTATTGTTATTTTTAGTTCTTGTTAACTAATGAACCTTATTGTAAAGTGTTAGCATATTATATTTCTCTTTTTGTGTTCTGTGACGCATTGGTCAACTTGTGTTGTTTTAATTGTGCTCTAGAAATGAAGTTGCTATTGTCATCTTTAACTCAGAGCTGCTTCACACCATGAATTACAACATTTGATCTCTCCAAAACATGTTTTCTTAAGTCTCTTTCAAGCTTACAACATTTTTAACAAAATGTAACACTAGTGATCAAACGCTTGGGGTAAAGAAACACATTAAATTGATAAGGAAAGACATTTATAATGTTTCAAATAAATGCTGCCCTTTTGAACTTTCTATTCATCAAAGAATCCAGAAAAATAAAATGTATCACAGTTTCCACACAAATATGATGAACTGTTTTCAACACTGATAATCATCATAAATGTTTTTGAGCATCAGATCCTCATATTAGAGTGATTTCTGAAGGATCATGTGACTCTGAAGACTGGAGTAATGATGCTGAAAATACAGGAATAAATTACACTTTACTTACTAGATATTCACTATTAGAGAACATTTACTTTACATTCTAATAATTTTCACTGTTTTTAATCTATTTTCATTAATGCTGCGTTTGTGAGCATAACTTACCGACCACAAACTTTTGAATGCTAATTTACAATCAAGTCACTCAAACAGAAAAATAAATAATAGAAAATAATACTCAAACAAATGTATTCTTGATCATTTTAAACTGTAAAGTGTGTATTATTTTCCACAAAGGGCTTATCAAGTGTGAATTTCAGAAAACGTATAAAGTATCCACATGATTCTCCAGTGTTTTGAGCTGATGAAATGAGACTGGAGTCTGAATATTAATCCGATGAGCTCATCTGTGACTGAGTGAATGATTTATTGTGTGAATAATATCAGAAAGTGCATTTCTGCAACATTCAGTAGACAGCTTTCACACACCACACCATCTTTCTGCTTTATTTGGTGCTGCTTGATTGTTTTACATAAAGTTTTGTTGACAATAAATAATCTCTTATTTAAAGTCCTCCCTTTATCTCTTAAAACTCATATTTAATCACCAAAATTACATATTTAAATGTTTTTTCCTTGAAAAAATAATTTGTCATGCCTAACTAAAATACAACTGTTCATTGATGGTTAGTTCTGGTTCAATAAATAATATTAACGGTTACAACTTTTGATGCTGATAATGTATCAGTAAATGTTAAAATCAACATGAACTAAGATTAATAAATGCTGTATTACTATTATTTATTATTAGTTCATGATAATGTTAACAAATTAAACCTTATTATAAAGTGTTAAAAAGCTAGCTTTATAGTAGTCAATGATTAATGTTTTTAATAATATTTTGAATAACCTTTTTAATTTAGATTTAGAAGTTTTGTCATGTTTTTAAATGCCTGTATAGTTTTATAAATAATTTCTCTATATTTATTGTAGTTATTTTAGTATAAGCAGTATTTATTAGTGTAGTATTAAATTGCACTAAATTAAAATGAGAAATGTAGCTGAAAAATAGTTTGTATTTAATTTTATTTATACATTTATTGGGACAGTAAAAAAACATGATTCCAGTTGAAAACTGGAAAATATGTGTTGCTCATCGAGAGTATAGCATAAGCTAATTAGCATCTCGGGTCCTTAGAAAGGCTTTTCTAAAAAAGAAAAAAAATATATATATATATACTAATCATAGAATAAAGCTAATACAGCATGTCATTTATACACACACAAATACATATTTATCTCATTTTTATTTAATATTTATTTCAGTTAGTGTTTGTAGCAGTGTTCAGCTGTAATAACCCTGTGTGATTGGCCGCTGAAGGCAGTGCCGTTACTGGTCCTGTCTGCTGTTGAGTAAGCGTCTGGTGTTTTGCAGGGGTCCGTTCCTGGTGGCCATGGGCAAATCGTGGCACAACGAGGAGTTCATCTGTTCCCACTGCCACCGCTCGCTGGCAGACGTGGGCTTCGTGGAGGAGCGCGGGAGCGTTTACTGCGAGAGCTGTTACGAGCAGTTTCTGGCCCCGACCTGCGCACGCTGCCAGCAGAAGGTGCTCGGGGTGAGTCTGCAGCGCTCCGGTCTACTATTGCTCACACATATGTTTAAAAGTTCAGGGTGTGTGTCGTCCTACAGGTTTGGGGATGATTTCTCAAACTGTGTGACTGTGACTGTAACTCCGCTGTAATAAACAAAATATTATATATATATATTACATTTTAAGATATATAAATTACTTAAAAAAAAAATTCAATATTATGTTTGAAATATTAGATACATAGGAAGATGTAAATATTAAATAAAACTTATATATTTCAAATCACACACTCACATATACTGTGTATGTATGTATGTATGTATGTATGTATATGTATATATATATATATGTTTATAAACTTACTTAAAATACAATTTATATATGTATGTGTGTGTGTATATATAATATATATTATATAAATTATAATATTAATATTATATATATATAAAATAATTCTATTTTTAATATTTAATATAATTATAATATTAATATATATAAAATATAAATATTATATAAAACCTGAAATCTATATTGTATATTATTTCAGATCACACACATTTATTAAATATATTATTTTAACATTTAACAGTTCATCATTGTAAAAAAAAAAAAAAATCTATATATGTGCAAAATATGAAAGGGTTTATCACAACCAGCTCACTTTAACAGGTAAAGAATACCTGCAAATAGTTTGAGTAGTTTTGCTTGAGTTTGTTAGCAGGCGGTTCATCACAAGTGACATTTGTCCACTTCTCCTCTACTCGTTCTGTCTATTCTGACCTCCGTCAGTCTTTCCCTGTAAAGCTTCATTCCTTCATCATTCCCAGCCTCCCCCTCCTCTGCTCTCTCTGGGAGTGTGGGACTGTGGGAACGAGCTTTAATCGGGATCATAAGGTCTGGTAAAGCTGGCAGCGGCCGCTCAGATGTGTGACAATTAGCACTGGCTGTGTCGCAGTGGCTTTAGTGGGCTTCAGAACCGCTTCACTCGCTTGATGAGAGAAAACATTTTGTCCTGGATATTTTTTATATTCAACAATAATATTGATCTGCCATTATATGAGAACTAAACAGAGCTGGATAAGTTTCTGATGCAGTTGTAGTCGTTGTTTCACAGAGAGTTTAATGTGCTGTTTTCATCTGCCAACAGGAGGTCATCAACGCCCTGAAGCAGACCTGGCATGTGCAGTGCTTTCTGTGCGCCTCCTGCCAGCAGCCGATCCGCAACAACACCTTCCACATGGAGGACGGGCAACCATACTGCGAGACTGGTGAGCGTTACTGTTACGGCCCTAGTTCAGCTCGTTTCAAATCACCCAAAAGACAAGGAACGAACATATCAAAACCATAACACACACACTAATAGTTCAATACACCCACGTAACAGTTACCCACAAACCCGTCCGTTACCAGTGGAGGTTCTACTTTGAATTACACCCAGGGCGAGACCAAAAAAAAACAACAGCCCAACAATAAAATCACATACCGTTCATTTAAAAGACCAGTGTTGGGTAAGTTACTCTAAAAAAGTAATCAATTACTAGTTACTAATTACCTCTTCAACAGTGTAATTAGATTACTGTACTAATTACTCTCTCTAAAAAGTATTTAATTTTTTTTTTATTACTAATTACTTTCAAAATCCCATTTCAATCTCAACCAGCTGAATAATAGAAGGACATGACAAAGACATGAATCTGTTTTAATTCTTTCAAATAAATATAAAATTGCATGAATTGTCCTTAAAATGACCATGGTGGAGAAGGTTACATTGTAAAAACATACTTTTTAACATCAGACAATACATTGATGTTAAACCCACTGTTGTTTTATGTCTGATCTCATGACATTTCACACTTTTTTCATACATATTTTACAATAATTCATACGAATTTGTACGAGTGCGGTCATCATATTTAGACACCTCATAAAATGCGTACGAATCGCTGTGAGATCGGATTGATCTATACACAGTATTTACCTCAATTACATCAGATGTAACTGTAATTAAATTACTGATAAATGAAGAGTAATCCCTTACTTTACATTTTCAAGGGAAAAGTAATTAAATTACAGTAACTAATTACTTAGTAATTAGTTACACCCAACACTGTGAAAGACACAGTTAACAGAATCCAGTTATTTTGCTAGATTAATCTAACTTTCAAGGGAGGATAACCATTAACACATTGGTTACTGCCTGGAATTATATGCATGGCACACTTTTAGTTATGACTTGTTAAACTATACTTTGTCACGAAATGGAGTTTTTAAAAGTGAAAGGGTCAGAGAGATACTTATGTAGTAACACAATACTTATCTCTTAAATAATTTCGAACAGCTCTCATATTAACAACTATCCAAACTGTTATAGACCTAAAATAGCTTTTGTAGGCCTATGTCACTCTTAAAATGTCAGAGAAAAGGACAGAATCAGAGATTATTTTGAAAATAGAACATTCTACTTTGCATATTATAGGCTACTATAAAAAAAAACACATAATTAAAGTTGATTTTAGTTGATCATTATGAAAATTTTATTTCATGAATATAGTGACCAGCATGATCACATACACAGAATCTTGTTCAAAAAGCCTTATACACAATGAAATCAATTCACCAAGTTAATAACATTAAAGATTTGTCTTCTTACCTAAACTTAAAAAAGGTTAACACAAAAAAAGGTTTTATAAAATGATAAACCTCATATTTCAGCATTCAATCATCTCGATATAAAAAGAATGAGTCAATAAAGATACGTTCCTGACATTTATAATGCACAGTAGCTTATCTTTTATTATTAATAGTAAAATTCGGAGAGATTTCCCCATGGATTTTGTCCACAACGACAGAGAAGTTTTAGTAGCGAATGTATTTCCACCACAGAAATACGCTTGCTATGGCTCTGCTAAAAGGTTTATTTATGGAGAGGAGAAAAACACCCAAGTGTTTGGGTGCACGTGCTGAAAAGTTTATGAGCGCGCTTTTCGTGCGCCTAATCGCCTATTTGAAAGAACGACCTCAAGCGCACAAAAGACGCGATACATGAACGAATCAGGAGACCCTCTTGACATCTCTTCTGTGAACGGCTCCTTCTCAGCAAGCAGGGGCGCCATTGCCAATAATTCAATCGAAATGATAAAAAATAGAAAACCTTCGCGGCACAGAGGATTTATTTAACTAACTAGATCGCTCTGTCCATTTCTTACACTGTCTATGGGTGCATGAGGTTGTTTTTGAGTGTATATTATGTTTGATACATTTCAGGGTTTATAACTTGTCCAACTCTAAATAAAACTAAATGTCGATCATTACTTTTGTACATTTAATATTCAAGTATTAAAAAGCAAGACCTGAAAGTGTGTGTACTGATAAAGTGTGTGTACTGATATAGTGGTGTCCTGTAGACAGTGAGCGGATGACTGAATCTGTTGTGTGTTCGGCTGCTTTAGATTACTACACCCTCTTCGGCACCGGCTGTCACGGGTGTGACTTTCCCATCGAAGCCGGGGACAAGTTCCTGGATGCGCTGGGGTTCACCTGGCACGACACCTGCTTCGTGTGTGCGGTACGTGTGTGTGTGTGTGTGTGCAGAAACACCAGGAATACACACTTCTAAAGCAGGGTTTGAACTTTTTCTCTCACCAGCCAATTTGGCTAATAAATGAAGTTACCGGCCATTCAGAACTTCTACTAGCCAAAATATAAACCAGATTAACCACATCATAGCTTATATATATCATATAATAGGTGAAAAAGACATACAATGTATTAAAACTATACTTGAGTATGTTTTTAGTGCAATACAAATGCATTTTTAATACATTTAACAGTATGTCTTTTTTACCTTGGGCAACCTAACGCTATTTGACTTTCTCAGTTTGTGTAAATCTACTTCGGGTTCAGAGTATATTTTTATTTTTTTAACTGTGACAACATGCCCCTTAGGTGGAGTACACTATAACATGACCTGATCAATAAAATATACAAGACAAACTCAAATATTTTCTCAATAAAATACAGTTCACTTTTTCACATAAAATAATGGCATTTTTAAATTAAAAATAAGTTTGAGTTTCACAACGAACACTGAAAAACAGCTATACAGCATAGTTCAAAATATAATAATAATAATAACGAATAATTTCTGAACATTGACTGTCTTTATTTGCCTTTTTCTCATGTTTTATTGATAGAATTCATAAAAATATAGAATAGAGCATCATAGTTGTAATAGGGGCTCATTGTAACGCAGTGTGACAACATGCCCCACCGGCACAACTGGGCTTTAAACCCGGCTCGTGTTCTGCAGTTAGAGAAGCATTAAACAACCGTATCGACTGTTCAATAACAGATTGGACATTAACATAATATCAGATTTGCCTGATTTAAAAAAAAAATGAAATTAAATTAAAATAATAAATTAACTTCTAAATAAATTAAATAAACGTTCAGTGATATCTTCAAAGATTTCAGAATTTTGGTGCATTTTTCTTTCTATATAGTGATATATATATATATATTCAAAGAAATCCTGTCATCCATCATCTCCCTTTCTTTATCATCCTCATCATTTTCACCAAAAATATGATCAATAGAGAATACAGGACAAAGAGCATCAAACATTAGGATGTTGGAAATAATGTGTTTCTGTTCACCAAATACTGTAATATTCACTATTGCTTCAATGCAAATAAACAAGTGTGCCGTTATTTGTCCACTCACTCACTCAGGGATCCACTGGTTGATCTGATTGGTTACAAGGTGGTTTGTGACGTCAGAAACACCAGCGATTTAAAGTGTGTGTTTGAGACTGTCTTTGGTTCACTGCGGTTTTAAGGAGGAAATGTTTGAATTTACTCGTGAATGCAATGATCTGATCTCTCGTACTGCTTTGATTGGATATGGAAATGTCCCGGGTACAAACACAAATGTTGGTGAAAATGTTGGTCTTTTATATATATTTGCACTCTTTCAGTATATCTAGTGATGTGTGACTGCTTTTGAGTCCTGATTTCTCTCTCTCTCTCTGTCTGTCTCTGTGTCTCTCGTCCTGTAGGTGTGCAGCACGAGTCTAGAGGGGCAGACCTTCTTCTCCAAGAAAGACAAGCCCTTATGCAAGAAACACGCTCACACGGTCCAGTTCTGAGCGCTGGACGTCAAATCGAGGCTGGACGTCATCTTTTACGAGCGCCAGGTTTATTGTAGTATGTGAATGTTTTTGCTAAGAGAAATATTTGCCTTGATTTTCCTCAACAACAAAAAAGGACACACATTTACTGCAGAGTTTGTAGAATATTGATTTAAATAATGTACACTGCAAAAAAAAAGTATTTTGTCTTGTTTTCATGGTTCAAATATCTTTACATTCATAAATGAAGATACATATTGCTTGTACATTGAGAAGTAAAATGACTGAGGTCTCGTTTTATGAAAAATGCATCAAAAGTGAGTTTGCGCTTAAAACATTCAAAACAAAGTCAGAAAACTCATTCACGGGGAAAGATATCTGTTTGGACACATTCTTTGAAAAATATTTCTTCATGCCTTAAAATAGCTTTACTTTGAACTTTTTTGAAAGCAATGCTTAATAGCTTCTCCAGTAATCTTGATTTAGGAATGTTTCAATATTTGCACTGAATAAGAATCATTGTTTCAGATGTTTTTGGAGGTCCTCATGCAGCTTGAGATCAGATCTGTGTTAACTGCAGTATTTCAGCTTCAGTGTTGCGTTGTGGATGTGTTTGTCCAGCGTTACACAGGTGTGTAAAGAGCACTTCTGTGACTCTGAGGATATATAGTTCAGCTTCTCACACGACTGCACTGGTGGCCCAGTGTAAAGCTCCACACACACACACACACAGCTCTATTTATGCAGGTATATTTATTGAGGCAGGAGCCATGATGATGATTTCTGGGGCTTTCCAGGGGCTCTGCACTTATTCACGGCACAGAACGGTGATATTTAATGTTTTATGTGATATTTCTGTGCTCCATCTGTCTGTGTACGGTTTGTGGGATATCTGATCGTCTAAGTGCCTTGATTACAACTTTATTTGTGCTCAAATTATGATTAATATAGAGAAACATATTTCTTTTTTTTTCTTCTTATTTCTTTTTTTATAATCTTTAGCTCTTGTTTTTAAGCTAAAATGGGTTGGTGGTTCAATTGCATCTTTATTCTCATTCTTGATGTTGTAGTTTCCTGTAATGCATTATTATGAGACGGGATGAATAATAAAAACACTGTTCTTATCAAAGTCTCGTAGTGTGATTGATTCATTTTAAGCACTAAAATTATTAAAGGGAATTAGCTATATTAAAAAGTAAAACTATCAAAAATAAAAACTGTTTCAAAATACCTAAAATAACAGAACACATTGAGCCTCTGAACACATTGACATCACTAATATAAATGCCTTAATAATGAGTGTCGTTTGCGGGATCCTTTGGTTTCCCAGATCCCGAAGCATCCCACCTCGGCCACCACACGTCCTGTGCTCCCGTTTCAGAGCAGATTATGTTCAGTCACTGTGAAATGGATCTCAGCAACGCTCTCCTCCTTCCGGTAATGACTGAATTTGCCAGAAGATTGCATGTTTAAAAACAGCATTAACAAAAACCTAACTTGACCAAAAAGAGAAACTCAAATCCATTACACTGAGCAAAATAAATGTGAGTGAAAGGCTTGTGAATTATGTCACTTAGAGGAGAATAACTGCATCCATAAATATATAGTTCTAAAAATAGTTCCAAGTATAGGCTAATATATTCTCAGAATAAAGAGAAATAAACTCACAACTGTGAGGAAAAAAAGTCATAATTGTGAGAAATTCACAATTATGAGAAAAATCTAAATTGCGAGGAAAAAAAAAAGAGGTATAAACTTGCAATCGCAATAGAAAAAAAAAAACATTTGCGAGAAAAGGTCAGAATTGTGAGAGAAAAGTCAGAATTGCAAGGAACAAACATCAGATTTGCAAGTAAAAAAGTACATTGTGAGGGAAAAAAAAGTCAAATTTGCGAGGGAAAAAAAGTCAGATTTGCGAAGAAAAAAGTCAATTGTGAGGAAAAAAGTCAAATTTGCGAGGAAAAAAAGTCAGATTTGCGAAGAAAAAAGTCAATTGGGAGGGAATAAAGTCAGATTTGCGAGGGGAAAAAAGTCAGATTTGTAAGTAAAATGTAAATTGTGAGGGAAAAAAAGTCAGATTTGCGAGGAAAAAGTCAGATTTGCGAAGAAAAAAGTCAATTGCGAGGGAATAAAGTCAGATTTGCAAGGAAAAAAGTCAATTGTGATGAAAAACAAAGTCACATTTGCGAAGAAAAAAGTCAATTGCAAGGGAATAAAGTCAGATTTGCGAAGAAAAAAGTCAGATTTGTGAGAGTCTGGATTGCGAGGAACAAATATCAGATTTATGAGGGAAAAAAGTCAGAATTGAGAAGAAAAAAGTCAGATTTGCGAGGAAAAAAAAGTCAGATTTGCGAAGAAAAAAGTCAATTGCAAGGGAATAAAGTCAGATTTGTGAGGGAAAAAAGTCAGATTTGCAAGGAAAAAAGTCAATTGTGATGAAAAACAAAGTCACATTTGCGAAGAAAAAAGTCAATTGCGAGGGGAAAAAAGTCAGATTTGCGAAGAAAAAAGTCAGATTTGTGAGAGTCTGGATTGCGAGGAACAAATATCAGATTTATGAGGGAAAAAAGTCAGAATTGAGAAGAAAAAAGTCAGATTTGCGAGGAAAAAAAAGTCAGATTTGCGAAGAAAAAAGTCAATTGCAAGGGAATAAAGTCAGATTTGTGAGGGAAAAAAGTCAGATTTGCAAGGAAAAAAGTCAGATTTGTGAGAGTCTGGATTGCGAGGAACAAATATCAGATTTGTGTGGGGAAAAAAAGTCAGATTTGCAAGGAAAAAAGTCAATTGCGAGGGGAAAAAAGTCATTATTGTGAGAAAAAAAGTCAGAATTGAGAGGAAAAAAATCATATTTGTGAGGAAAAATTCAGGTTTGTGACATAAAGTCCTTATTGTGAGAAAAGGTCAGAATTGAGATTTATGAACTCGCAATTGCGAATAAAAAAAGTCAGAATTGTCAGATCAAAATTTGCGATTATCTTTTACATTTTTTTCCGTGACTGAAACGAGTTTCCGTAGTGAACAGGACTTTTTTGGGATCTCCTGCAAGTCTCAGAGGAGAGTGTAAATAACGCAACTCCGGGATTGTGCGGTCTGATGTCGGCAGTGAAGCAGAAGCTCATGCGGTCGCAAATGGCTTTGGATGAATCCTGAAGAGTCAGATCTGCAGAGCAGCACAAAAGCCAAAGCTTTCATATAGAAATATCAATAGTTTCGTTGTAATGTCAGGTATAACCTTTCTTTTGATATTTTTAAACCACCTGTTTTTTGACGTTAAGAGCAGGAATATTGTGATAAGGAATGTGATAAGCAGTTAATAATTCTGAAAAAAATTTTTACGGTTATATGAAAATAGATGTTTTATACAGTATTTAATTATATGTTTCCAGGTAAATTCTTAAATTCCAGGTGTGTTTCAGAGATTTAGAGATGGAAAACAGTGCAAAATTTTATATTTTATTTTAGGGGGTAATCATATTTTAAGTGCATTTTTATCATTTTGCTTCTATGAAAATGTTTCTGGGTCACAGACTGGTTTAGCACATTAATATTTTATAGATTTTTAGATTATAAAAATGTATTCCTGCCCATTAGAGTGAGGTGAAGAGTGAGTTTATGGTTTTTATGTTACATTTTTATGTTACATCACATTGTTTTTGATGGCGTAATTTGGAGCCAATCACTGATACTTTATTAGTATTATTCCCGAATGGGAGTTCTGTGGCATCAACCATACATCGGAAAATAATGAAATTTGGTACAGAGATGGAGTTTGTCCTGAATAGCAATCCGACCAACTTTGAAGTATCTACGACATACTCTATAGCGCCACCACCAGTTCGAAAACGTACTTTTTTTTGTTTGTTTAAACTTTTGAACACTTTTTAATTGCGTCCACCAGATCTGGTTGATAAATGTGTACTTCTGTTATTAATTTGAGGTCCAGAGCATATTTAATGAAGGGTTATATGGTGGTGGTGTATTATTTGCTGGTTTCTGTGAGGTGAGGATGAGGAGGCATTGAGGTGTATTTCTCTGAGGCGTCGGTGGTTGGAGCCTCTGCGCCTCACACGCACGCACACACACACACACACACACACACACACACACACACACGGAGACTGAAGGAAAGAAATGCAGCTTTCCTCCTTGAGTTGGGCATAAGGAGTCCGTTCAATCTCAGAACAAACGGCAGCGAGTATTTCTTCGTTGAATGTTTCTGTGTCCCGCGGACACGCGCCGATGAAGCTTTCTGACGGACTTTAGAGGCTCGTGAATGAAGGTGAGTGTTTAAATCTGACACATCCACTGAGACTTTGAATGTTTGATCAGCCGTTTATATATATATGAAGTCACCTTCATCTGCGATGCACACGCAGATTTGTACTAAAATATTCGCGGTTGTTCGTGTGTGTGTTTGTCAAATTCGCCCTTGCGCTCGTGCTCGTATTTACGAAAGTTTCGGCGTTTTTTCGTAAATCTCGCGCACTGAATCTCACTGAGCTGAAGCAGTCAGATCTCTCTCAAGCTGTCAGCACTGGAGTTTTAGTGGAACCAGTTCGAGAAATAGGAAAAAACTTATCTCTTGTGATGGACGAAAATCATTCAAGAGGTTTAACTGAAGGCGATTTGCATTTAAGTCGAGGATATCCTTGTATTAGGCTACGTTAGATTTAGATTTTTTAATGGAAATGATGAATAAAAATGAAATTGTTCAGGTTGTTAGGAAGATTTCATACGTGTTGGTGCTCAAAATTACAGTTTGATCAGTTATTCCTGAAGGTGTTTTACCGGTTATCATATTAAATGATATTGCATAACACCTTTTTTAAGGGATATGATTTATTGAGCTTCATCAAGGTCTTACGAAACATTCTGCCCCTGTAGGTGTTGAGAGATCAGATCTGAACATCACAAATGCATAAGGAACTTTATTCATCAGACTGAGGTAAGTCGGCAGGTTTTTCTATTACTCAAGTATTGAATGTGTGTTTGTGTTTTGCATTTGACTGAAATTATTGTGATTGTCTTATAAATATACATCTAAAGGGGCTGTTCACAGTTGATGTTTCGGTTTAAACGTGTTTTAAAAGCTGAAGTGTGTGATTTCTGCTCTATTCGTGACTTCTTGTCATCTAATTGAATCGGAAGAATGACTGTTTTCAAACAGTTTCCCTAAACACGTCCCCTCGTCTGCCATTGGTCATTCACACAGATAGACCCGCCCCCAAACTCACGTCATTGGTCGAGTCTCAAGTCAAGTGTTATTAGGGATGTGAGAAAGTATTTTAGCATGGAATAAAGACACACTTCATCTTTAAAGGAAAGTTTATGCTCGTTTTACACGCATGAGCGCTGTGTGATTTTTGGAGGCTGATTTCCCCATGAGTGACACCTCAGATAAAGCACTGGGCTTGTGTTGGGAATAAAGTATACTAGAATATAAGCTAGTATGTACACTGTTTTACACTAATAAACAGAGCTGTAATGTGACGTTTATGACATCTGTGCAGCAGATGATGAAGTAAATCACACAGATTTGTCCATCGGATTGGATCGGGTCTCTTCAGTCGTAGCGGGTCGGCAGTGTGTTGTGATATCGTGAGTATCGTGTGTCGGATGAGTGTGTTCTTTGGGAGTGTGTCAGCGTTATTGAGTGTCGGCGGCTACAGGAGTCATTTACACAGCGGCGTAATGAGAGAAAGCCATTACAGGGCCTGATGTGTGTTTTGGGTGGGATTTCTAAAAGCCTGCGTGTGGGAAAGTGCTGGTTTTGTCTGTGTGGTCTGGCTTTGGCGGCCCGAGGCTTGTTTGAATTAAACCCAGTGGGCCGGTGCTGTTTTACTGCTTATATTTCACTGCGGCAAAGAAATACGGAGTGTGAACTTGCCATAATGCCGCGAATCTTCACCGACCAACGCAGACGCACTTTAGCACTGGGTTTGATGGCTGGTTCAGTATCAAGAGAGCAGCTGGGAAATATAAAGCTGGTATTTATCGCTAATTAAACCCGGATTGTAGGGCTGCACAATTTTGTGATTACATTTTCAGATAAAAAAAAAAAAAATGTGATTAAAAAAAGTGTTTTGTTGGGCTGCACAATTGTGATTTATTTATCCAAATGATTATAAAAATGACTGTAAAAAAATTGTATATATATGTATTAATAATGTAATGATATTAGAATAATAACTGCATTTTTAAAATATTTATAAATATTTATTATAAATATTAATATTGCTATAAATATTTTATACACACACACACACATATATATATATTAGTAATGTCAAATAGATTAATTTTGTTTTAGCATAAAAGTTGTTTATATAATATATGATATATATATATATATATATATATATATTTATGCAATTTATTATAATAATATATTTTATATAAAATATATTATATTATATAATATTATATAAAAATATTATATTTTATAAAATTTATATTTTATATAAAAAATGTTGTTAGATTGCGATATATATATATATATATATATATATATATATGATAAATATTTATTATATATATATATATATGATAAATATTTAAGAAAAATACACAGTAAATATTACTATAATACACATATAAAAACTCAAGAAATATATAAATATTTATAATACTTAAAAACTCTAAATAAATATTTGAGCGTTCTAAAATGGGCATTATTTATTGCGAATGCTGTTGTAAAGTTTGTGTAACTGGTCCTCCGTCTGTCAGTCAGTGGAGCAGGTGCAGTTATTGACCGATGCGGATCATCTCAAAATGATTTTGTCATGGGTTTAGTATGATCCGCTTTAGACTGGCGGTGAGTGTGTGACGTGTGTTTGTTCCTGTTCTGGAGTTTCTCGTCTCTAAACACACCGTCACCTTCAGCTTTGATTCTCAACGTTTGGGTTATTGTGCGCCGACACGCCGAACGAACACTGTGTCTTTGTGCGAGCGGCGCGTAAAAGGATCTGTTGTGCGTGTCCCCCCGGTCTGAATCTGCATACCCCAGGGGCTTCTGGGAGAGTTTAACAAGCTTCTGATGTTCCTGGAGGACGGAGGCGTGTGAGATTCCTCCACCGAGGTGAACTTCAAGCCCTGAGCTGCAGAGGTCAGAGTTTACAGTCCGAATAATGAGTTCATTTCAGATTCAGTGGCGCCGCCTCATTCAACATGAATCTCAGAGTTTTGATGTGAATCTCGAGGCCTGGTCGCTACGACATCGGTGAGCCGGACGCAAATGACAAAATACATGGTATAATGTAAATATATACGCAGCAGGACGAGCTCTAATAGTTCAAAAATAGCCGTTACTGATGGTTATTTTATACATAAGCTAATTGTTCCATGGAATTTTCAACTGCAAAAACAGATAAGACTTTGTGGTTGCCAGGGTGTTGCTAGGGGTTTTTCTACAGTGTTCTGGTTGGTTGCCAGGGTGTTGCTAGGGGTTTTTGTACAGTGTTCTGGGTGGTGCCAGGGTGTTGCTAGGGTTTTTTTCTACAGTGTTCTGGGTGGTTGCTAGGGGTTTTGCTACAGTGTGCTGGGTGGTTGCCAGGGTGTTGCTAGGGGTTTTTGTACAGTGTTCTGGGTGGTGCCAGGGTGTTGCTAGGGTTTTTTTCTACAGTGTTCTGGGTGGTTGCTAGGGGTTTTGCTACAGTGTGCTGGGTGGTTGCCAGGGTGTTGCTAGGTGTTTTGCAACAGTGTTCTGAGTGGTTGCCAGGGTGTTGCTCTGCATTTTTATAGTGTGCTTGTCAGGCTGTTGATAGGGTGTTTTATATATATACAAAGATAGTCAAAGAAAATAAAGGTTTGTGGGTTTATGAATCATAATGATTTAATTTTCACAGCATTACAGGACATTTTACGTAGCTACTTTGTTTATATTTGATTAATTCTATTAAATAATACAGTACAGTACAATAACATACCATACCATAAATCTTATGGGCCTATTTTGTTATAATTTCTTATATTTATTTTCACTGCATTACAGTAAATCTTATAGACCTATTTTATTATAATTTGTATTAAATCAAAGTAAAAAAAAATTATTAGACTTATGAACAAAACAGATTTAAACCTTTAATTTTAATTATTTGTATGACAATATGTGTGTGTCTGTGTATATTGTAAAATTGTGTGTAAGACATATTTTTTCATATATATATATATATGGGCTATGTATGTATATATGTGTGTGTTATCATCAGTTACCATATAAAACAGTGTGTTTGTGTGCTAAAAGAGTTCAGCAGCTGCACTTCTGTCTGAGCTGCATTAGTTGACCTTTGACCTTCGCCTTCCGCCTTCATAATTACAGGAAGTGAGCGTGGCCAATGAGAGCAGAGGATTGTGGGTAAGCATTAATGAGCACAGAGGTGGCAGTGTTGTTGAAGGGGCCGCTGGAGAAAAGAGCCGAAGATCTGAAGATATGTGCGTTATTTGTGCAAAACACACTACACTGATTCTAGGAGGTTGCTTTGTGGTTGCCAGGGTGTTGCTAGGCTGTTGTAAAGGTTTTGTGTGTGGTTGTCAGGTTGTTGCTAGGCTGTTTCAACATTGTTGTGTTTGGTTGCCAGGGTGTTGCTAGGATTTTGCAACAGCATTTTGTGTGTGTGTGTGTGTGTGTGTGGTTGCCAGAGTGTTGCTAGGCTGTTGAAACAGTGTGTGTGTGTGTGTGGTTGCCAAGATGTTGCTAGGCTGTTGCAAAAGTGTTTGTGTGTGTGTGTGGTTGCCAGGGTGTTGCCAGCCTGTTGCAACAGTGTGTGTGTGGTTGCCAGGATGTTGCTAGGCTGTTGCAACAGTGTTGTGTGTGTGGTTTCCAGGGTGTTGCTAAGGTGGTTTGTTATTGTCTGCAGTGAAAGGAGTCCACCGTTTAATCCCTGTGATCTTCTGTCCTCTGGATTTAGGTTCACATTATTGGTTGGCATCGGAATGATTGATAATATTTAGCCCCGCCCACCTGGCCTTGATTTCATCAGCATGAAAGAAGTTTTCAGAAGTGGAGAGTTTTTAATGAATGATCATGTAAACACTCTTCTTTATATAAACGTTACGGTTTCGCGGCGGCGCATGTGAAAGGAATCAAACTGTGATGTCTGTGAGGCTCTGAGGATGAAAAGCAGCACAGATGATTTGAGTTATTATCTCTTCAACGTGTCACACGCTGAAAACTAAACGCGTCTGGCTTTTGACACGCGATGCGAGAGATTAACGGCCTCTCCGTCTCTGATTTCCCAGTGGAGCGACCCGGACACAGGGAAGCGATTCAAAGCCCTCCATCATCCGTCCGGGTGTTTGTGGAGCGTCAGCTCCTCGTGAAGTGTTGCGGGAGACACTCTCAGCAAAGCGCTTTAAAAGCTGCCGGTAAGAGTGTGTGTGAATCACTCATCCATTAGGTCAGAGCAGCACAGATGCATTATGGGTGCTGGGTTCCGGGATTCCGAGAGAAGACTGGATTCTGATTCCTTAATGACTCCAGACGGATTGCGAACTCCGAGGACGTCACGATATAGATGTTTCTGTTTATTAGGTGTGTGTGTGTTTTAGTCCAGTCTTCAGACTATAAACTCACATTAAACATTGCTTATTTTTGCGCTGTGGGATTCACGTTTTCATGTTATTTTTAGTGTGAACTGAACAGCATGTTTTAGTCATTAGAAGAATATTAATGTTTGTCCGTTTTTAATTAAAATGAACCCGTTATGAGTAGAGCTGGGCAATATAGATTTACAAATAAAAAAGTTTCAGCAGTAAATCATTTAAAAAAAAATGTTAATATTTTATTTAGTATACAATATCATTCAATATGTCGTATTTTAATTTAATATATATTTTATATATATTTTTTTACAAATATGTTGTTATATTTGTTATTTTTCATAAAATATAATGAAATATGTCATTTTATATATTTTTATGAATATTTGATATTTTGTATACAATATT